GAGCTTATAGAAGACACAGCTGGTTGTCTTGTGCCTTTGCATCAGTCCACAGCTAGAGTATAGGCAGTGAAGGCATATGGTGGCTGGGATCCAGGGTTGAGGATTGGTGGGCGATGCACAGTAGAAGGGCAAGGAGACAGGAGTGGAAGACAATACCTAGAACCGGTTTAGTATAGGGTCAAAACCACGAAGGAGAGGAGTAAGGCTAGAACAGGATAGATAGGGAGAAGAGAGGGATAGAGACAGAAGCTCTCAGGAAGGATGAAGAATCAGTGTAAGAGCAGGGAGGCAGAGAGAGAGGTGGAAGGACAGAAGACTGTCATCACAAGGCCATGGAGGGGGGAAGTTTAAGAGCGCCACTCCATGTGAATGGCTAAGGAAAGCTAGAGATGGAGGTCATATTGATGTCCAACATCCAATATGCTGCCCTTACTCCAGATACATCAGAGGGGATATATCAGATTTATCCTGTGGTTAAGGCTACATATACCCACTCACTACATCCCGGTTTTAGCTAGCTAAGAACACATCTGGAAGCCATGCTTCCAGTTTTTGATGTTTGTGAACCTAGCTGGGCAGCCAGTGAACTCCTTTTCTCTAGGTTTCCGGGGCCTCGGTGAAGAGAAGCCTCAACTGTGACAAGGCTGGTCTGTCCACCTCTCCCTAAGAGAGAAACAAAGCCATGACTTCTTTGCGTGCATTGCACTAAATACCTTGGTACCTGCCCCCTGAGCCTGAAGTCATTCTGGAAATGCTTAAACCAACTTGAGAAATCCAATTCCGTCCACCCAGCGGCAGCTCCAGTTACGGGTAAAAACAAGAAAGGTGCTTCACGATGATCAGGGAAATCCTCTGAGCATCGCAGGATCGCCGTCAGGTACACTGTTCAATAAACAAGACCTAAGATTGTGTTCTGAGAAACCCTTAGCAATGAAATAGCAATATAAATTCCCTAACGGAAACCAGTAATTGCTAAAAATTAAACTTGCTATTTTATACTAGGTCCTTTGACTGAACTACAAAGAAAGACCTGGAGGGTGATTATGGCAGAACTCAGGAACCTCTGTCATACTGCTGTACTGGGGAGTTTGTGACAGTCACCTTCTGCTGCTGGGTGAGGTCTCAGGGGAAGCCAACAGGCAAGGGAAAAAGTCACAAAGGAGAATTCAGGAATTTAGACTGGGCTATGAAAAAACTGAGTGGGTCTGGTTTTGTTTTCCAGTGGCAGGTCTGGTCAGGAAGGAGCTGACTATTCAGTGAGTAACGACAGTCAATCTCCAAAACAATGACTTTAGGCACTAGGAAGGTGGTTGGGAATTAGGATAAAGTCCAGCCCAGGACTGACTAAGGCCATAATTGCTTTACATTCTGGGGCATTCCCCAACTCACTGGGTGGGTCAGCCATACAAGAATTAAATGGTTTTGACTAGCATAAAGCAACAGAGTAGTGAAGGCAATGATGGGCTGGCATGTCGCAGGACAGGTCACGTAACAAAGTTATGCTCAATACTGCACAAATTGTACCAAATTAAACTTGCTGTACTTAGAACATGGGTTATAATGTGAGCTACATTACGGCTGGCTTTAATTGTCCTTTGGGATTTTCTACTATATTATTAAAACTGACATTACAGCCTGCCTGTTATTACTGGCAAAATGGCTTGTCTTAGCTACATATGTGGACTGTGACTCAGAGCTCCCACATTGCTAGAAAGGCTAATTGTCTGGTGTTATTCACACCAACCGAACATGTGACCCAGACTGACATTCTTCAAACCAGTCTTCTCTACCACTCCCTTTTGGTCATTGCCAAACGGCGCCAGCTTTGTCCCTCAGGAACAATGTTTAGGAAGGTAAATTTTGACTTTCCGAAAGGAGCTAAGCCTTGGTTTCTGGTGTAATGCAAAAGAAGACACTTAATCTCATGCATGTTTCATATACATATTTATATATATATTTCATGTACAAAGTTACATTCTGAACCCCAAGGATTCAATAATAGAAATAAATACTGAAATAACTACATTACTAGATGAGCCATTTGCTCATAGAAACAAAGCCTCAACCTTAAACGAGACAGCCGGGGAACCGCTGTATGGTAGTAGTACACATCAGGTTACAGAGGCAAGTAGAACTCAGCGTTAAGATGTCTAGAACAAAACTTTAAAAAAAAAATAGACCATAAGATGTTTAAAATATGTTTTACGAGATTGAGAAATATGAAACTGATTAAACAAAGGAAACAGTTTTGTTGAGAAAGAAAAGACATTTAGCGTATAGAAAATGCTCTGAGGGGCAGCACCAGTGGTGACAGGGGCAGGAGGCATATCTCTGTGGAAACACATCCCGCTTTCCACTGAACTACACTTAGTCTTCTATTCTTCCCAAGTTTCAGACCAGGGACTCAACCCGTCCCTATCTCAATGGGGTCCATCAAGAAGAATCCTAAATAAGGTTGAATCCTTTGGTAATTTTCATAATACTCACAGGGAAATAAATATTCAGTTACACAGCATTTGAAAGATGAGGCTCTTTAGAACAGTTAATAAAATAAATCAGAATTTTTTGTTTTGTTGCTAAGGCAGCCTATGTTAAAGTGTCTACTCTCTGCCAACTCTTATCTGTTCAAATGCAGGAAGACCTTTACAAAAAAAAAAGAACAATACAGCAGCTTTGAGAATTCATTTTCACCTTTCCCATGCAAACATACTCATTCTGACAAGTTTCGGGCTGCCTATTTTGTGCTCCAAATGTTTTCACACCATCAACAAGCTGCAGCTATCAAGATATTCATCCGTCTTTCTATGAAACTGAATCCACATGAGACTGATATTCACCAACATACTCTTAAGATCGCGGACTTTCTGGAGCAGATGCTCCGTTTGCGACACGGAGCCTGAAGACTCACAAGGCCATCAAAAGGCAGCGAGCACAACACCCAGTGTAACAAAAGGAGAATTCTCCATCATCCCTCATTCTCTCAACAGGGTTTTTGTAGCTGTTGTTTCTGTCATTAAAACAAACAAAAAAACCACACGAGGTATACCTCCCCCCATTTTACCAGACCTCACATGGCAGTTTTACAGGTACTGTTTTTACCCTCTTTGCTACATGCTAGAATTCTCTGTCTTGGCAGCTCTTTCCAAAAGGCTGTCAACACAAGGGGAACGTTACAGAGAACAATACGTCACTGGGCTCAAAGTAGCAAAGTACCTGACTGAAATTTAAAACTCCAACAGAAAATCTTGGAACCCTCACCCCGAGCTTGCTACCACCAATACCTAAGAGAATTTAGCAGTGCCCTACGTCAGCTAAATGCTTTGGATAACACTTAAGAAACTTGCCTTTCTTCCACTAAAGCCTACAACATAAAGGAGGAGTAATCACGTCTGCCTCTTCCATCATAAGTGGTTTTTTTTTTCCAATATTTCTCTTTGAACCCTGATTTCCTGTATTTGATTCTGTCATGCAAACCTCTGACTGCCTGATCATCGGTGGATGGGGTGAAACTCTGGGAGACTTGCTTCCTGGGATCCAAGATATCAATACAGCATTTCATACATCTGTACACCTTCAAGGCCATAACACTGGATAATGTTTTGTACTAAGTGCCACAACAATTCACAAGTAGTTTTAGTTTTTAAAAACAGACACCTCAAACAACTTGTGAAAGAGTGGCCTTCATTTTAGGTGATCTGGAAAGAAAAAAAGTGATCAGAAAATTCAGAAACTGACTTTTGGGGGGGGTGCGGGGGGATAAGGCAATCAGGATTAAGTGACTTGCCCAGGGTCACACAGCTAGTGTCGAGTGTCTAAGGTCAAATTTGAACTCAGGTGTTCCTGACTCCAGGGCTGGTGCTCTATCCGCTGCACCACCTAGCTGCCCCTAAATGACTACTTTTGAAAATGCAACTTTTACTAAAATAGTCCTTCTTCCTAACCAACTGCGTGGCAGTTTTACTGTACGGACTCTATGCTGCTTACATACCTATAACAAGATGGTTTCTAGGGACCCTGCAGGCTATCAAAAAAACAAAACAAAAAAATTTACCAATACCATAAAACAACAACTTAGCATTTTGGTGCAACAAGTCATTGGCAGATACAGCGCTCTCTTACAGTTTTCAGAAACTTCTTTGCATGATAGGGCGGGGGGGAAAAAACCCCTTCTGTTCAGAATGCTTAGGTAGTTTCATACATTCTTCTGCTTTTCCCTTTTTCAAAGCAGTTACTAGATTTTGGAACATCTACACTATAGGTTAACATTTTAAAAAATTATCACTTAATTTATCTCTGCTTAAAATAACAGAGAAGGAAAAGTAACTATAGATTATACACTTTAAAAAAGTTAAGGTGAGAATCATTATTGCAGCATTATGGTTTAAAAACCAATCAAGCGAGAAAAACTGGTGTTAGAACCAGAATCTTTAATCTGGTTAAAATAGAAGAGGGATGCCCACAGTGAATGAAGAGATGTAGTATCATTCTTAAATCAGGAATACATATTGGCTTGGTTTCCCTCATGCAATCTTTCCTCGTTAACCATGGCCTTTTTTCAACTCCATATGGTGCAAAATCTTGTGTTATTTACATCTAGAGTGCCAAGTGCTAGCTGTTCCATAGTTTTACACATACAATAGAAAATACTTTCTCTAATCAGATCTCCCAGTTGGTTAGGTTCTACTCCACTAATATTACAGCTTTAATTTTATTAACAGGTAAGACCTCTTCAGAAACAAATGGGGAAAGAGGTGGATTTCTACATGGGATGAAAAAAACAACTAAAAAAGGCAACAAAAAAATGCCCCACCATCCCCTGTACAAGGAATACAAAACACAATGTTCCTTTTTAAAATCACCTCAGTGCTAAAGAATCTCTTTTTAAGCCTTATAGTAACATACCTTCGCAACATAACAGTATGAAAGTGGAAGAGACTGTCCTCCAAACAATTTAGTGTATTCAGAGCAACAGCCCTCATAAATTTTAGAGCTCTAAGAAGTCAGAAACATGAAACTTTTATTTAAATAACATAGTCTTAATTTCTTTAATACAAACCCCACCCCCCTAAAATCTGATGGAAACGACAAAGTTTTATATACTATATAAACAAGATTTGTCAGATTTGAAAATGAAAGTTAAAGTAATTTACACTTTGTTTTTTGCCCTCCAAGGACATTTAGCTAAATCCAGATGATTCCACCTGTTATTAGTTTTTGTCAGTTTTATAATACACTGGGGGAAACTTTGTAATTTTACTTAATAGTACAGACAGTTTAATTTATCAAGTGTTTTCCATTGACTCCATTATTAGTGACAACTAAAAAGTGATTCCATTAAAAGAAGTGAATTATGTTAGACTGTGGTGAAGTAAACCACATATAGATTGCTTACTATAGTTCACCAGTTTTAAGAAAGTAAACATTCTCTGATTTGTTCATAATACACTGAAGTTGCCTATAACACTGGTGTAGTAAAACAGCTAGTTCCTGTATTGTTATGGCAGGACAGATTTTGTAATATAAAGTTAACAGGAAAAATGCTCAAACATTATGTAGTGAAACTGATTCCACAAAGAGAGCATTAAATAAAGGGGGTGGGGATGGGGGGAACCATGCAGAAGAGACTTCTCTCCTCCCCAGATGTTTCTGCTGCATTCATTCATTCACTGCCATGCATCACTTGCCACACTATCAAGTGACTTCTTTCAGCTTTGGCCACAGAGGGTTCAAGTGAGAGGGCGTCTCCAAGGAGCTCTGAGTCTCCACCTTCATCACCTGATGGAAAGAGGATAAGGCAGATTGAAGTGAGCCGAACGCTCCAAATACCAGCAGCGGGCAGAAGTGCCACCAGCTCAGCAGGCCTGTCATTCTTGCTCAACTCAATAAGCTGAGGCACTGGTTTGTCTCCCACCTTGGTGTACACAAGAGAACATCAGGGGGAATATACCATTAACGCAAGCCACTGCTGAAACTGTAAAAGAGCTAAGTCATTTTTTCTAGATTAGATTTGTGAAAGGTGGTTGACTATAGCATATTGGAAATGAATCCTAAAACAATGACTTATTGATATCTATAGAAATATAATGCAAAACCAACTTTAAGAAGACTAGCTCTGTACCCATCTCAAATGGACAGAGTTTGACTTATCTTAAGACTCTCAAACTGTGAACAACAGCTGCTATGATGAGGAAGTTATAGTCATAAAACAGACAAATCACTAAACACAATGTGTGTGGGTTCATCAGCAGTGATATGAGGGTTCTCTAATAGGCCAGATTTGCAGATTGGAAAAAGGAAATTTAAGTATCTTCCTCCAATACCATATGAAGCCAAATCTGTTATGAGCCAGACACTCATTAATCACTTCAGATTTTCTTCCCATGATCCCTAGTACTTTAATTAACAGCCCTTGACTTAGCTGTGTATGGTGGGAATGAAGGCACGGGAAAGCTAAGTGAAAATGCAGTTAAGATTTTTTTTGCTGAAAGCAAAGTCAACAGGTCAATAAGCATTTGTTAAGTACTAAGTGCCACACTGTGCTTTTTAAAGGAAGCACCATGTTGCTTTTAAAAGATCATTTGCAGAGTTTTTCCACTCCTCTCTACCCACTACTCACCTCACTGTATGCTTAACAGATTGATTACTAATTGATACTACTGATATTACAGAGCACTGTCACTCTGAAATAACCTAATGTCAACTGGCATATTACTATGCCAGGACTTCGGGCAGGGTCCCTAAAAAGCTCTGCATCAATGGGCACTGGAGATAAAAAGATGATGCTCACTTGCCTGGTTTGGGAAGTTACAAGTCTTAGAAGGTAATACAGTGCATGGAGATTACAGCAGGCCAGAAGAAAGCATTGTGATTCTTGGGGCTGCTGACAGAAGTGAAAAGTGTAGTATCTAAATAGTACTTGCATTGTTCCCTTTTTAAACACAAACACTCCTCTTTGTACACCCCCAGGATGACCTTTTCATAGTCTGTTAGAGCATAGAAGTTACATACTTTAAAGGCCTAGGAGAAGAAAATAAAATTTCTTCAAATACTTGTGGAAACCTGGGAAGGCAATTTATGTTAAGAATTAATTAACTGATGTTAAGAAGCAACGTTTGGCTTTCTATGCTTTGCTTTTATTAACATAATAGATCCAAACTGGCAAAGACCACAAAAGATGGGAATAGTTCATGCTAGAAGGACTGTGGAAAGAGAAGCACATTCACGAATTGTTGGTGGAGCGATGAATTGATAAAAACCATTTAAGAAAGCAATCTGGAAACAGGCATTCTGGCCCAAGAAGGTCAATGGTTTTTTGTTTTGTTTTGCTTTTTTAAAATGCCACATATACACCAAAATATTTATAACAACACTTTTTGTAATACCAAAGAATTGGAAACAAAATAAGATGTCCACCAACTACAGAATAAATAGGCTGTGGTCCAAGAGTGTAACGGAATATTATTGTGCTTGTTAAGAAACAATGATTATGATGAATAAAGAAAGTCATGGAGAGACTTATATGAACTGCTGCAAAGTAAAGTAACCAGGAAACCAGGAACCAGAAAAACAATACATACAATGACTGTAGCAAAGGAAATTGGAAGAAAAAAATCTTCTTTCCAATCATCTTGCCTTAAGTCACTGAAACAACAAAGAGGCCATTTAGGATCAATTTCCTCTTATTGAAGAAGTATAAGAAAAAAGTGCTCTAGGCTCAAAAACAAAGCTTTAACTACAGCCATCAAAAAATCAAGTAGTAGTTGTTATTAAGAACAGCCCCAGTTTTCAAATACTGACCTATTTTCCAGCCTATCTTTGTGAGATACTGCCAACATCTAGTTAATTCACTTTCTATTCACTTTTTGGGGGCTCAGTATGGGAAGGAATATTTAAACTACAGAATGAAACTTTAGTATTTAAGTATATATTCTTTAAATTATCTTAAAGAATAGTTTATAAAGTATTCTATTAATTTATTCCTTTATCTGGCTCTCTGCTTCTGACCAGCTACCATATTTCCTCCCATGCCGAGAGCTTTCTTGCAAAATGTTAGGTACTAAGGCAATGGTAATCCAACCTAAGCTAACTTCTTTAAACTCAGCAATGCACCAACTTAATCAACAATTAGAACAGGCTTCTACTGAGACCAGCAGAACCTTGAAACATCAACTCAAGCCCCGGGCAATTTCATATTAGAATCTGTGATCACACATGACATACTGGCACTGGTCTGTGACTCCCAAGTCGTAAACTTAATTCTGGATCGATTCATACCCTACAAATATAGGACCTTTCAGCTATACAGTTTGAACTGCTTCCAATCCCTTTTGTGGCTTAAGTTTTAGGTAATTTCTGGTCCATGAATATTTTGACTGGCTCAAGATATCTCATTATTTATATTAAAATAATTCTACCTCAAACAGATACTTTCTGCTTTAAGGAGAAATTCAAATTCTGTTACTAAGTTAAAGATTTAAAGTTCTGCTCTTTACACTCTGTGAGACTTAGGGCAAGTCAATGTCTCTGGACCTCATCTGTAAAATCAGATAAGACTAGCTAACCTCCAAGGTTTCTTTTAGCTCTTTATTTATCCATCTATGATTTTATACTATGGAGATCTCCTAAGTAGAATGCTTTCTTGGTATGATTAAGAAGATGGCCCAAATCACACTCGCACATGAAATCCCAACAGAGATCTGTATACTCACCCATTCTGAAATCTATATATCCCTCTCCTCCGCTAATCACAAGCATGGACTTCAAGGGGTTCTGGCTGGACTCCTGGGCAGGCGGTCCTGGCTTGTCACCTGCTAGTTCTATGCTGCCGCTGCTGCCGCTGCCACCACCACCACCACTAGCAGAAGCAGCTGCCGTAGCAGCACTTGGTGGGCTGACCACCTGACCTGTTTAAGATGAGAACAAAACTAAATGTTACATACACCAATTGATTTTACTATCAAACAGAAAAGCTAGATGTTTTCAGAGCATGCAAAAATGCCACCAATGTGGTTTTTAGTACGAGAATACTTAGGTTGTTCTCACCTAAGACGTCTCTCTTTTGCCAGCCTAGCTATTCAATTCAACTCAACAAGCAGTTACTGAATGCTTAACAATATGTAACACACTAAGTTTTGCATTAGGTTTTCTTCTAGTTACTTCTTTAGTCCAATTATGTTCCTGTAATTACTGGAAAAAATGGGGTTTTCAATGAAGTAACAGACCCCATAGCTGTTTACAAGTAAGAGTGTCTACATCCAAATACATCTAGAAGTTTGTTTACAAGTAGGTATCTAGTAACTATGAAAGTAACTATGGAAAATGACAGTTTGGGAACGGCATAGTGGATCTAAAAGCTACATGAAGAGAATCATATGGACTATCTCACAAGCAGGATCCATCTCACCTGGTACTGCAACAAAGAATTTGACAGCATCCCGGTGCCCATGGAAGCAGAGTTGGGCATGTGCCATTGAGCAATACGGTATAAATGTTCCTGGAGTTACTTTATCACTATTTTCATCACCATACACACGGATTACACTTCCAGGACGGTTTCCGGGTCCTACTGAGGTTTTATTTGCTAGAAACAGAAAACCAAATACCAAATATTTTTCCTTGAAAAATGCTGCTGGTGTGAGAAGTTATTGGTTAATCCTTATGGTATCTAAAAAGCTACAGCCATTGAGATAAAATGAAACAGAAGGGCAGCAATGCCAATTCAAGATAGAGCTGGGAAAAGAGAGCATGCTAGTTATTTTAAAGTACCTCAGTAAATGGATTAGGGGATTTGCCAGTCTAGCAGGTATCAAAACTTAGTTTTTACACAAATCTTGTAAAAAATCCTTTTCGTAAACTAAAGACATCAAGTACTACAGCTGGTTTTATATTATGTTCTTTCATTTGAAAAAATAGACCAATTTTATAGCCTATAAAGCAGACTTCCAATGGCCAAGTGTATTTTTAAAAATAAATCTCTCTTTATAGTTAGACTGTTCAACTCAACAAGTAAATTCCCCCTCAATAACAAGCAGCAGAATACTTCCCTCCTCTAGCCAGAAAGCAATATGAAAAACAATCCAGCTACCATAACTTGCTGGCTAGAACTTGTGCTGGGTCACTTTAAATCAGCTAGACATACAAAATACCCCCACTCCAAGGACTAGTCAATGAGTGAAAGAAACATGACTGATAACAGGAGAAAACAATGTAGATTAATGACAGTTTTAAGAGATGGTTTCACGTTTTTACTGGGAGAAAAACAAAGCCTGGGATGGAAGTTCAGCTGCAACAAAAGATGACAACAGACTAAACTGCTGAGCAGACTTGGTGGCCATGTAGCAAACAAACAAAGAGGAAACTGCTGCAGCGCAGTGACTGAGAGTGATGGCATTAGGAACAAAGAAGGGGCATTTATTCTAAGTGAAACACAGCCTCATAGTGGCCATGAGCAGCCCGGAAATAGAATCTGGTTCAGGATCTGCACTTACCCCGCAGCCCCAGTAAACGTCCCTGGTGGAGGATTACCGCTACAGCAAGAAAGGAGGAAAGGGGACACGGATAGGTATATGACAGTAGAGGAGAAGGAGAATATGAGTCACTTTCATGTTTTGGTATCTGATGAATTTGAGCTCTAAAGCTCCTTACTAAATTAACAAAATCCCAAAAGGAATCAGAGAAAGCAAAACAAATGGAAGGTTCTTGTTTTCAAAAGTTCAGGACACAGAAAAAACCGTATGACGATCCTTAACATTATTCTAATTGCAACAAATCTGAATTGAAGGTCAGGAATTCAACACAGGTGGTTTTCTGTTATACCAGTTTTTCCCCTTTCGCTCTTTTTGTAAAGGAATATTGCTGAATTAGACTATGCCAAAAACGAAACTATCCCCATAAAGTATCAAGAGGGACAAAATCTGGGATCCCTTACATAAAAATAAAAATGCCTACCAAGACACAGAAGATGCTTCATTTAAAATGTGACACTTACAGTCACAAGGTTTGCTTTAATCAACTGCCCTGATCACATGATTCCTATTAGTCCAGTTGCCACAGAGCAACGTGCTGGTTTTTAGCAGCCAGTACACTCAATTTACCAAAGATAGAGAGCATTTACTGTGTTTAAACACCTTATGTTTCACAAAGAAATGGATAGTTCAGTACTATAAATCTATGACTACCAATAGGGCAGGGAATTCAGAGTTCAGACATCAGCATTTTGAAGGGTTCCCAGTTTAGGTGTTTGTTTTTAAGGTAGGAAGGGAAAGAGAAAAGACACAACAATCTATTTATATTCTAAAAAGTCATCTTGTAAGTTTTATTTTATGGAATGTGGCATTTGGCTGCCTTTCTTCTCTCCCTCCCCAGGAATCATAATTGAACGTGCAACATAAAAACACTTATTTAATGGATGAGCAATGTAATGGAACACAGTATGAGAAACACACAATGCATGTGCTATTTACAAAAGCACTCCAATCACATCATGCCCAAACATAGCACAGAACACACATTTTCAAATTCAAGGAAGAGCTTGCTGACTTATTTTTCAGAAATTTCATTACACTGTTTTCAAGAGTATATATAAATTTATTAAAAAAAAAACCTAGGCGTAGCCATACGGAAAACATCAAAATCTTTATTAGGGAATATTTTAAAATGCACCTTCAAGTTATAAAGCTGAATGGGAAAAGGAAATAGCCTAAGAAAAAAAGCCCTTTAAAAACAAGATCCTAAATCTGAAAGGAGGCTGGGGGAGAGGACGCACAGGTGGATGGCAGATTTCTCATAGTAAAATATATTCATTTCACAATATTAATCCTGGTACACAAAAACTATTTACCCAGGGGATCATGAATTTCATAGCTATATGTACCATTACTACAGAGGTAGTAGGATCACAAAAGGCCTTTCTTTACCTGAAATTTGGAAAGTAAACACTTTAAGATGATATGACTAGTTCCTAAAACTTCCTATGTATATTCCAACTGTTATCCAAAATATACTTACTTTCTGTTAGTGGGATGGAGATAATGACGCCATTTCCTGTCCCTACCCACAAACGATTACAAGATACCATAAGAGCTGTGATTCTCACAAAGGAGAAGCCCAATTTTCCAGTACCTATACAAATAAAGACATTTTATACAATTATCAATACAGTAAGAAACATGTATTAAGCACCTATGTATCAAGACCCGTGAGACATGCTGGAAATACAAATGCAAAAGTGAGATAGTTCCTGCCTTCAAGAAGCTTACATTCTATTGGTAGATACACAGTCAGAGATATGTAAATAGAGGATATATGAAAAATAAACACAGTGATGAGGTGGGAGAGCACTACCTAGGGGAAATCAGAAATAAAGAGAGAGATATTTCAGGACTGAGGAAGAGCAGCAAATTGATCCAAAAGGCTGGAGACGGGGGGGGGGGGGGGGGGGGGGGGGGGGGGGGAGAGAGAGAGAGAGAGGGAGTGAGTAAATTGGCTAAAGCTAGATAGATTGTGAAGGGCTTTAAATGTAATATAAAGGAGTTTATACTTTATCCTAAAGGCAAGAGGGATCCACTGAAGCTTCTTAAGATTAAGAGTGATATGAGCAAATTTACACTTTAGGAGTATCGATTTGCCTATTGTATGGAGGCTGGATTGTAGAAAGTAAAACCTAGAGGCAGCAGAAACCAATTAAGAGGCTATTGCAACAGCCCCAAAAAAGAGCACGAACTGGGTTGTGACGAGAGTAAAGAGAAAGGAAGATGCAAGAGATGCTGAAAAAGTAAAATGAAGAAGATTTACCAACTGGTTCAACATGGAGGGGTGGTGAAAGAGGGCAGAAGTATTCAGTCAGTCAACAAGCATTTACTAAGTGCTTAATATGTGCAAGTGCTGGAGATACAAAGAAAGGGAAAAACAATAACCACAAAAGAGAAAATACGTTAATTGATGGATACAGAGAAAACACACACATACACACACACACACACACACACACACACCACACACACACACACACACACACACACACACACACACGGCTTCTATGTCTGGGGGAACCTTCTGCAGAAGGTGGGCTCTGAGCTGAATCTTGAAGGAAGCCTAAGAGTTGTGCGGAGCTCTTGGGGGGACAGCACTCCAGGCATGGGAAGCAGTTAATGCCAAGGGCCAGAAGCCAGGGATGAAGGGCTGTATCAGAGGAACAACAAGTCATCCAATAGAGCTAGATGTGAGTGTGGAAAAATAAAAAGGGATAAGAAGATGGGAAAGGAAGGCAGGGGTGAGTGAGAGGGAAGAGTCAAGGATGCGTCTGAGCTTGTAAATGTGGGTGACTCAAAGAAGGGATCACAGACAAGGAACAAGGGAACTCAAAGGCCTTCAAATCCAACTCTCCTCATTTGAAAGATGAGGAAGAGGAATCCTCAGGAGGTGGAATGCTTTGCTCATGGTCACACAGGTAGTTAAGCAGCAGGGAGAGGAATCTAACTCAGACCACCTAACTACCCACCCAGCAACCCGGCTATCTATCTCCCTGGTAGTGCCCTCAACAAAGACAGGAAAGTTACGGAGTGAGAGTGGGGCAACTTTAGGGGGGGAAATAATGAGAGTTTGGGTTTTTTTTTAAAATATGCTGAGTCTGTGATGCCTATGAGCCATCTTGGTGATGTACAGCAGGAGACTGAAGCTCAGGAGAGAGATGAAGGCTGGATGTGTGGGTTGGGAGTCATGTGCACAGAGATGATGACTGAATCCACAGGAAATGGTGACATCACTAAGAAAGAGAGCCTAGAAAAAGCAGATGGCATGGGACAGAACAGCATGTGACATTGAATATGATCCTACAAAAGAGACCAAGAAGAATCCTTTGACAGAATGAAAAAGAAGTATCATGGCTGACATGAAAACCCAGAGAGGAGAGAGCAAAGGAGGAGGCTGCCGACAGTGTTAAATGCTGCTGAGCAGACAAGAAAGGTAAGGGCTGAGAAAAGGATATGGTTTTAGAAAAAAGAGTTCACTGGTGACCTCAGAAATAGTTGTTTCAGTTGAATGGTAAGGTATGAATGAATGAATGCTACATACAAATCAAGGCATTTGAATTGGTTGAATGTGACACTTGACTCCCCATTTCCTTTAACTAACAGTATTTGGGTTTTCCTCAAAGCAGTCCATATGGGTTAGCAGAAAAGCAAATTCAAAAACTGGCTGGCATCCCACTATCAGTTGCGAAGGAAGGCACAGTTAAGCAGAAGACCCAAACCAGGATGTGAGCACAGTGGACAGAGTGCTGTATTTGGAGTATGGAAGACCTGAGTTCAAACCCTGTCTCAGATACTGAACAGTTGCATGACCCGGGACAAGTCATTTAACTTCAGTCTCGGTTTCCTCATACGCAAAACGGGTAGAATAACTGCACTTACCTGACAGGCCTGTTGTAAAAATATGAGATAATATATATAATGTAAAGCACTCTGCAACAACCTTAAAGTGCTACACAAGTGTCAGCTATTGCCTGATGTTTCTTTTCATAAACAAAAAATTATCTTTCCTGGCAACACTTCTGGACTTTCCTTCTTTACCTGAGGCTATCTGAGGTTTGAAGCAGCTAGGGAAAAGACAGCATTTTGGGACCTATTGCACATCAGCTTATTTCATTTTAAACAAAGGCAGGGAGTTCATATTTTTGCATTTTTAGACAGTTATCTGCAATTCTCTTTAGGTCCTAGAAGTTAAGAAAAACCAATTGTAAAAAGATATTTAAATAAAAACAAAACTAAAGCCAATATATTTTTGTAAAAGTTATCTCCCACCAATAAGATTAAGCTCTACTTATAAGAACAGCTTATACAAATTTATAAACAATCTTAAGAACTAAAAACTCCTCCTGCACAGCTATTACGGGGGATTGTTAAAAGATAAAGGATTTGGAGACTTACCTAACATTTTGCTTACATAAGGTTCAATGTCCACATCCTGTAGATGCTGATATGTATGTGCATGATAGAGACGCAGGGTAGAATCCAAACGAATTGAGACCCACACTCCGTCACCAACCCACGCCAGCTGTCTCACTTGGCTCTCTTTCCTTGGGTGGGCATCAAATGATTTCTAGGAAAGAAGATTACAATGCCATAGTGAGTTTGGCTGTGAATAAATGCATTTTATAACCTTTTCAAGCCAGCTGTGTTGGTCTTGTGCTCTAAAAGGTGAGCACAGATTATTATTTACAAAAAGGTGGCTGCAAGTCCTGGGACATAACTGCTCCAGGAAAGAGCACAAGTAAATAAATGTAGAGCACAAATGGACATTGCATGATACTTCAACACTGTACATTATCAAAGACATGAAAACCATATTAAGGATTTAAAAGAAAATACTTAATTCCCCCAACCGTGACACACAATATCTCTTCTAGGTAAGGAACAGATGGAGTGACACACGCCACTAAAGCAGTCCTCCAACAAACAAATAAACAAACCCAAGAACAGAACCCAGACATTCAGTGTATGACAATGAGGGAAGAACAGAATGTCAAAGATGGAAGGACCTTTGCAACCATGCAGTCACATTTCTGCTACTTTATAGGAAGAAACTGAATCCTGGAGGAAAGAGGAAATAAGTGATTTTGAGATTAATGCTAATAAAAAGTCATGACCAGCACCTGGGTCTTCTGATGCTCAATTTAGTTCTCTTTTTACCTCTCCCACTTACATGTCTCCCCAATTCAGGCCCACATGTGTAACTCTGATCTGAGAAAGGGGACGAGGGAGTGGCATTGAGGAGATGATGTCATTTACTTCACTGACACAAAATTGAGGGAAAACTCCCATCGTGGTCATGTTATGGCTTTATAAATCGTACAGCTGGTAGAGAATTCTATTTAGTCACTGGTCTTCAAGTATAGTCCCAACTTAAGACTGCTTTCTATCTACTGCCTCGCAAGTAAAGAAAAGCTTATCTTTAGCTGTCTGGCTACTAGGTCATAGATTCTTTGATCAACCCATGATCAAATGGGTCAAATTCAATCAACCCAATGAACTGTATGTGTATGTATATAGTTCATATATATAGACAGACATATATGTAAGTATATGTGTATATATATGGAGAGAGTGGGTGAGTGAGTGAGTTTTGGGGAGAATACCAGAAAAAGGAGTGGGGGTAGGGGTTACTAAGAATATCAATAGTTATAGGTATAACTTAATTGTTTGTATACTCTAAATGGGAGATACATGTTCAGTAACCTGAGGAGTAGATATAATCTTGATGGTCTCATTATAAATTAAACCAGAAGGAAAAAAAGGAAGAGATATCTAAATAGGATAACTCACAGGTTCTCCTCGGACAGGTAAATGAAGATAAAATAGGGTTTGCTGTTCACTCAAAGGCAACAATTCATAGGGCATTACAATGCCCATGTTTTCATGAGCTTGTGCATTTGTCCTACCCCATCCACTTACCACCACCACCCCACACAAAAAAAAGAAAAAGAAAAAAATCATCTTGAATATAACTGCAGCCTATGCAACACCTGTTGCAGAGGATGAGGGACTACAGAAATTCTAAAAGGAACCTGGTAAAATCCTCCAAATTGATCAACACATACTTGAATCACTTCTATGCAAAGGTGGGCACAGGTTAGGAGAAAAATATGATGGAAAACATGGTTCAAGAGGGAACTACACAGAGATCTCATTTTCTTCAAGAAAGGTGCTGGAAGTTGCTCAATATAGTAAACACCAAAAATGAAAATGGTTAGTTACTGATGAACAGTCATTTCTAAATCACCTGTCCATGAACATCAGACTACACACTTGTTATAAAGCAAAGATCAAAATCAATACGAGGAACCAAAATGAGGGAAAAAATAACATGGAATTGGGGTAATTTCAACCTGACATTTAAATGAGACTTTGATACTGGAAAAACAACAGAATAAACATGGACTAAGACTATCACCATTTCTTAAGGAAGGCGATATATGTAAATCAACTGCCACAATGACAAAAAAGGACCTAGAAATCACCTCAGCCAGAAAAGGTGTGATATCTTTGTGAATCAAAATATGGCAACAGCGGCTTGAAATATAAACTTGTTTATAAAACCTTACAGAAGAGGACGATGAAAGATTATAACAAGCATGACTCCCAAGACTGAAGGAAGTAATGCAGGGAGAAACAAGTCTAAGAGGCTTTGAGAGAGAACCAATGAAGCCAAGTCGTCCCTAAGGATGACTCTGCAAGGAAGACAACAGACAGGTAAAAAGTGGGAAGATGTGTTAAGTATTCTAAACTTGTATATCACACTCTTTTCATCACTGAGGACAGTGTAACCTCCACATATGAACTCTACCATCACAGTCCTGTATATTCTACATGAAGAACTGGCAGCAAGAACAGCTAGAACGGACAAAGAGAGTAGGCCTGTGCTGAAAGCAACTCCAATGTGAGCGGGTCTATAGAAACTGGTCCTTGAGACATTTCAAAGAGAGAAAGTCACCAAAAGCAAAGGGGGAAATGCTACGCCTTCATATCTGCCCCAAAAGGAGACTGAGAAAATATCATTCAACTACCAACCCATGTGTCTCCTTTTTCTATGAAATTCTTCTTCAGGATAATATAGACATAGGGTGTTTTTGATGAGATTAAAGGTTCCCCTAAAAGTGCCTTATAACACAAAAGATAACTTTGTTGGGTGGCTTATAACTGATTATTAATACTAAGTGAGGCATAAAATAAGAAGCATGCTAATCAAAGGAATTTGCCATCACCACGGTAGAGTTCCACTGCAGAGTCCAAATGAAAAAAGTTGTCCTTACAGAAGGCCAGGTTATCCAGATGCTCCTCTTTGTTCATAATATTGTGCTAACTGCATCACGTCCCAGAACTTTGCAAGGCTTCTAAACGAAATCAAGAAACACTCAAAATAAAAAAAGGAAGAAGAGTTTCTATTGTCCGGACTATGATATGCAACTGATTGGATGATTTATAATATTAGGTAGATACTGCATATGGACAATGAATGGGGCTGAGAATTGAATGGAAGGAGAATCACTAGACTGCTTTTGGGAAACTGTCCAGTGCTTTCAAGTGAAACATCTTTGCATCAGCACTGTGCTGGCAATGCTGCATGACCGTGAACTGGGAAATTAAAATTAAAGTCATGGGTCACTTAATGGGAAAGGAAGAACTGTGAGATGGATTTGAATGAACTACTACTACATACTAAAGATGAAGAATTATGCAGGAGCAGGTATGAACAATATAAAAGATATCATCAGTCAGGTAAGAAGGGAAAGGAGGCGTGCTAGGCACGTAAGGGCCAGGGAGGGGGTGGGGCTCATCTGAGGATGGACGGCCCACGTACCCTGCGTGAACCTAGGTAAGACCAAGAACTCAAGAGCATGATTTGCCACAAGACCAGATCTCTCTGGAGGAAAAAATGAGAGGATATGGGTGAGTCTTATGCAATGAGAACACATAGATGGGCTGTGATCTCCGTGACTGGGAGGACCAACATCAAGAACAGTTTGATGGCTCTATACCCAAGAATACCCACAGTGTTTCCCAACTTGTTTCAGTCTGAGACAGCCCTGTGAATCTGTTATCACACACACTCGATGGAGAACTCAGAGACAATTAAACAGCAGGATTGTTCAGCTACAATTTTCTCATGTATACCTAAGTTTTACATGTTGCTCTGACATTTGTAAAGCTCTTTACAGGTGTCACATGATTGTCACAAAAACCCTGTAAGGTAAGTGCTATTATCATCATCATCATCATCTCCCCCCTTTCACTGGCAAAGAAACTGAGAGTAAGAGAGTGACTCATATAGGGTCACACAGCTAGTAAGTTGCCAGCTCTGAAATCAGTTCTGATTCCAGGTTCACCACACTGCCTGCCAATATGTCCCTACACACACACACACACACACACACACACACACACACACACACACACACACACACCCTCTACATTTGTACATACAGAGAGTTAAATGTACACATGTAAACTAATCTTTTTTTACTCTAATTCCAAGTCACTACCACACTATTCTCCTTGAGAGGAAAAAAAAACTGGCAAAGATATATGAAGAAATCCAGCATGACAGGACATACAAAGGATATCTTTGAAACATTCTGAAGTCAGAAAAAATGATTTTTTTCTCACATTCTTTAGAGGATAAAAATAAAGGACACTGCATCAGCAAATGATGGGTTTTAACTTGCCTCTATTTTCATGGCCTTTGGTTGAACCACATAGATTTTATTCCTATAGCCACACCAGACTTTATCATGTACCACAGTCATGCATCGGATTGAATGGTGAGGTCGTCCTAGGTCCAAAAGGTGATAGTTTGACAAATCCCACTGACCATCTTTAAAATAAGAAACAGAGCAAAACAATGTTTAATTGTATAATTACATTGTTACAGGGAGAAAATATAAAAAAGCAGATTTATGGCAAATGTGCTGTTGTCTTATGTATATCTCTTGTGCAAATCACATTCTATTTATAAATAGAAAAATTCCACTTGGGTTTATGATTCTAATTGTTAGTGATTACAAAGTACATGTGAATAATTTCAGGATCTCCTTCCTTTTGCTGGCACCATTTATTCCATTTAGTTGATCCTCCCTTATTCAGACTATTACAAAGTGATTTCTGAAGTAATGCATGCTATATGCCTTGTCTACAATGAGTTCAGGGCTGGCTTTCCATCCACAACACCACAACCTTTAGACCTGGATGGCAGAAGTAACTGGAGTTACTCAAAAGGAGTATGAATAATTTATTATTTGAAACATGACATGAAATTAAAAATAAACTCATTCCACGAGCCAAAATGTAGTTTGCTTTTAAAGTGGACTTACTTCTTAGTCAAACAAGTTCTCTTAATAAAATGGATACAACTTTTTTTTTTAAACTCTCGACAAGGGGGACAAAAATATCTCCACAAAATGTTTAACTGAATAAAAGTCTGGATTCACAGATAGGCCAAGCCAGACATGACCTCTTCTCAACAAATACTCACATTACTGGAGCCCTTTAAAGTTTACAAGGTGCTTTCCCCTGATAACCCCGTGAGACCTAGTACAAATATTATTCTCATTTTACAGAGGAATAAACTGAAGTTCAGATAACATCCCCACAGCCCCCCAGTTAGTGCTAGAGATGCCATCTGGAGCTAGGTCTACTGATTTCAAGTCTCATACCTTTCCTATTATATTATGTGGCTTTCTAAGTGCAGAGAGCTTAAGAGCTTGCCAACAGTCACACAGCTAGGAAGCTAAGAGCTGGGACTTCTGACTCAGTCCAACACTCTTTCCATGATGCTCACAGCTGCCTCCGTCAGATATATGACTTTTTCTATTCCTTGTCCCACCACAACCTCCAACCTGATCACTTTATAAATGGAAGCTGTTAAAGTACTGTATGTTTGGCTGCAAAACTAGAGACAATATAAAATATTTTACTCTGGTATAATGCTAACAAAAACTCAAACATTTTATTTATGATCCCACACATCATTATTACTATTTCACTAGGGTTCCCCCCCCAAATGTCTCTTAAAATATGAAAAGGGTATTTTGCATGAAAACAGTCTGCAGTGCAATAGACCTAGGAACATTTTAAATATTTAGATATTAGAACAGAATCTCTTTTTAGCATCTTGTAAGAATTTACGAAAATAATATAGAAATAAAAATTCCTACCAACTCCTCTATGAAAAATTGCCAGTGTTCCATCAGCCAGTGCAACCAATACAATTCCTTTCACATGTCTGGAAAAATAAAGGGAAAAAAGTACACTTAATTTCTGGGGACAAAAGGCACCAAATATTACTGAAATTCCTATTCAAGGTGGCATAATCAAGTGAGGAAATATAATTTTTGCTATTTGACAGTCAGAATATAAGTAAGACAATACCAAAAACTGGGTTAAAAGTAAATCCCATAGAAGTTGTCTGCAACCTTTAAGAGGCACTTGTTCTCTCACCATAACAAAGAGTTTTTAATATATGGAGTGAATCTCAGTTTTCTTTTATTTAAAATGCTCTGCATTGTCTCCTTTTGAAAAACTAAGAACTTCCTTTTACTTCTGTGGCCTCAGACACATAATGAAGATGACTTGTTCCTAATCTGGCACCACTGAACTGAAGATTATTTGGGCCAGACATTGGTTTTTTAAAAATATTATAGTGACTATTATATTCTATTGTATACAAAGACAGACATTTTAAAAAGAAGTTTTCATAAAATAAAACTTACACAATACTGAGAATTGAATCTTTAAGTTTAATGGAATGGAGACATTTCCTCCACTGGGCCACTGATGAATGGACATATAAACTGCAAGAACAAAAGGCAAGAGGGATTAGACATACATGGAATTCCAAAGAATCATTCACAACTATCCACTGACAACTCACTTAACTCAGGGAAAAGGCAAACAACAGAAAATTTACGAATAAGGGACAGCTGCTCTTGTGCTACTATGAACAGTGATAAGGAAACAGTGATGTGGGCAATGCCCTGCCTAAACAGAGCGCTCTACAAGCTGACAACAGAAGCCCCATGACAACATGGACAGGAGAAGCCAAGCTGTTGCCATGTGCTGGCTGCCATCAGCCTTAAAGAATCTTTGTCTGCGACAGATGCTACCCTTAGAATGTTAAAGAGGGCACCTCTTCCATGCCTGCCTTGCTTGGGCAAGAGCACACCACCATAAATAAAGAGACCACACTCTACCGCCAAGTAAGCAAACCTCAACTGTAAAATGCCCACCCCACAGAACTTGGACAATTCAGTTTTAGCCTTCCTTCATAATCATTCTAAAAGCTCTTTGCTTGGGATTCGGCCTGCTCTGCTGCTAAATATATTCCTTTCATTTCTGCTCACATTCTAGCCTATGTAAGTCCCTTCTGCATTGGGAATCTCTCTTCTCTTGTGTTTAAGGTCTCCCAATTTTGAATCATCCAAATTTAATGTTTAACTTGCCTCCTTTTCCAAGAATATTGTTATGTAAAAATGGTAAGTTCTGTGACAAAGGGCCACATGGTTTACCATTTAGAAGCAAAGCAAGCACAGTTACAGAGCCAACTGCTTCACAGCCTCAGCATTTGTACATAGGTGAAATTTCTTTCATTAACATAAAGCAAAACAGGGACAGCTGTCATTTGCTACCTAAGTTACTGCCCTCATTTCAAAAGGAAATGAAGAACACAAATTAAGAGCCACAAATAATTTCATATTAGGTTTTTGCTTCTTTGCTCTTACCATCCGTTCTGTGCTCCAAGCCACATGGTTGGTAAAAGGCTGCTCATTTTCTGAGCTTCTTCTCGCACCAGGTCTTGTTCACTTGGCAATACTGTTATTTGATCTTTATATACATCTGATTCATTGCTGGGAAGGGAAAAATTGAACAAAAATTTTAAGATCTGCAGTTGATAAATGATATTTTCTAGAGAATGACCACTTCCATCTTAGTCTGTTAATGAAACACCACTAAAAATAAAGCTCAGGAAACCTAAAACCAGGGTCCTTATTATATCAATTAAGACAGAAATAGCATTAAAAAGTCAAGGGTTAGTTTAATATGCAGGTAAGAAATAGTGAAGACAGGCAGCACCCATACCCTGAACTGCAATTATAATTCTAATGCAGGGAGCTATTGGAAGTTTTATGAAAATAATGGCATTTCTTAAAACTCAAAAAGGAACCTACATACGTGCTTGCAAAATGCTTCAAGAGAACCTTATGAATCAAATGAAATATGTCTAAATTTTGCCTAATGATCCCACACCTTTCAAATGGGCAGAGGTTAATTTGGAATATTTAACCAGGCCAAACAGGAGAATAAAGAGAAAAGTTACTTTCCCCCATCATCACCTACAAATCATCCAAACAAATGCAATTTATTACTGAGGAGATCCAGTTTAGACAGTGCTCTACTCCGCTCCTTGAAGAATGGGAGAAAACAATTGCTGGAAAACTTGACTAAGAAAGAATTCCATCCTTTTAAATAATGTACAAAATCATTCAAAATGTTCTCTAATGAAATATAAATGAATCCAGAAAGGTAACCCACAAAAAGGTAAAATATTTAAATAGGCAATTATACAAATGGCAAAAGAAAAAAAAAGGCTACAACAATAAGAATATGCTGACAAAATGGGAGAAGAAAGGAAAAACTGAAAAACAGAAAGAAAAAACAAGAAGCCACAGTATAGGAAAAATGACCAAGAAGATCAAGACTAATACAATTTCAAGACAAGGTCTCAGAATGAGAAGGGAGAAAATGAGAGTAAAGTCTGCAGAAAGGATAAAGGGGAGGGAATAAACTGAAACACAGCGGGAGCAAATCAAGGAGGACAGATTTTAATCTCTTGCAACAACAACAATTAGGATTTCTGCTGCTTGAGAGTTTTTGGCTATTTTTATCCATGAATTTTTGTTCAAATTTCATATCATGTAAGTCTATTTTTGAATACCTTGAGTGATATACAGGAGACCCCTCTTCAGTATTTTGCACCCCCAAGGGATCTGTAAAGACATGCTCTGTGTAGACTCCAGGCTGGGTGAGATCCACAATGTCTTCCCCTGATCCTGCATTTCCTTCTGTTGCTTCAGTTGCTTCTTCTGCTGTTGGAATGGTTTCATCTGCCTCACTGTTTTCTGCTTCTGTTTCTATAATATAAAAATGGAAGTGAGCAACCATTTTAGGTAGCCAGACCTTGATAACTTCTGTTTTCCTTGTATAATACTTCCTTGACCCTTACTATTCCCAGGTGGGGACTTATTTTCCTGCTCACTCTTCATTTTTCTGGTCTGGACCTGTGATTTCAGCATCAAAGGGATGTGTGTGTGTGTGTGTGTGTGGAAGTGCCCTGTGCCAATGCAGACTGGCAACTCCCCTGTAACTTAGTTTTAGAGAGTGGTCTGGGGCACCAAGAGGTAAAATGTCTCCTCATGGTCAGACAATAACATGTGGCAGACGAAAGACCTGATCCCAAGCCACTGTGATTCCAAGGCCAGCTAGCCCCTAAGTCATTATATACTTTTCTCATTTTCTTCACGTGAGGGTATTAAAGGGACACTCTTTCTAAGAACTGAATCAGGTACACAGTCTATTCACCAAACTAACTTGACTCATTCATAATTCTTTCTATCCATTTTCAATTTCCTCTTCACAGTGCTTTTTAATTTAATACCTCTCATAACAGACAAACCTATGGGTAGCTTGAGTCTCTACCAATGTAATGGAAAAGTACTGGCATACCTGGTGGTTTTTCTACCACTGGGGAAGAACCATTAGTATTAGGTGAAGCAGCTGGTCCTATAACACCTTCTGCTGTACAACCAACCACGGTGATGCCTCCCAACAAACTGTCTGTTTCTGTTGAACTGTTGCTGGTCATACTTCCACACAATGAGGCTTTGTCCACTTGACTAGATTCTGTAGTCTCTTCTCCTACAGGATAGTCTGTTTCTCGTGCCCCTAAAAAAAGATACACTTGATTTTGTGATACAGATCAAAAAGAGTAATGGTTTACATTTCTGTAACTTATATTTACATTTACATGGTTACAAAGTACTGTAACATCAAACTTCCTAGGGCAGTATCCCCCTACACCCACCCCAATAAAGCGAGTAATCCTAAATTTCAATTTAGGACAGGTAATCTAAGTTGATTTTTAGCTGCTGGGAACCACATTAATGAGCCCAAGGTGAGGGACTGAATTCTCAGGTTAATTTTTCTGCTCCATGGCTACAGACTGCTCTCCTAACCTGAGCCAAATGCTACATCTGCTCTGACCCATCCAGTCTGGCAGAATTGCCTGGGGCATCCAGAAGAGTACACACAGTTTGTTCAGGGCCCCACAAACCTACTGTCTTTTATGTGGATCATGGTCATAAGAGGAAGAGGCAGTAGCGTGGAGCAGGGGTGGGGAACCTGTGGCCTTGAGGCCACATGTGGCCCTCTAGGTCCTCGAGTGTGGCCCTTTGACTGAATCCAAACTTCTTGGAACAAATCCCCTTAATAAAAGGATTTGTTCTATAAAACCTGGACTCAGTCAAAAGGCCACACCCAAGGCCTTAGAAGGCCTCCAGGCCACAAGTTCTCCACCCCGATGTACACTGATCAATATAAATTCAATTCCTCTCCACTACAGATAAAGAACAACTCAAAACAAATCAGCATTTTGCAGATTAAAAGTCAGAGGAAGATTTAAAGAATATTTGTGTGGGCTACAGTATGCTTAAATTTCTTGAAAAATCCATTCTCTGAAACTTCTGGATAACTCTGCTGGTATAGAGAACTTAATACAATGAATAAAGTAATGAGTGTTTCTGGATTCACTACACCTTCATCTTACCTGGGACACTTGCAATACAAAGAACGTGGGAGTTGCAAACGGTGAAACTGTCGAGGATGTTGCCAGGCTGATTAGCGTCGACAACAAGAACTTTGGAGGCTGAGTGAGTGCTGGTGCAGATCCAGACAAGACTGGACAATTCTTCCTGATGTTTTAATTCTTTCTGCTGCTCCTATATGGGCAAAGCAAGATGAGGAGGCAGTGGCTTGTAAGAAGTATGTCTACTATATCAAGAGGCTCTTGTGTAGCTATTCTGATGCAGGGCAATGTCATCTCAGGTTAATTTTGGAATCATTTGCAGTATTTAGAAAACAAGTGAAGAAAGAAAATGAATGAGAGTTCCTTTAGAACAGTGGCCGGGAGGCCTCCGACTCCCCTGCTCACCTTGAGCTCCTGATCTAAGCGGTCCAAGCTGCTCTGAGAGGCACTGCGTTGCTTGTTGTCTTCTGCATCCAGAGTCGTCACGTCATTATAGAACACACTGGCTCCAACCACACAGCCACCGTCTCTCGTCTTCCCGCCAGACAAATTGACTCCAACAGCACACCACAGCTTACGGGAAAAAAGAAAGGAGTACTTAGTTTCTCAAATATTTATATCTTTCCAAATATGTTAGTGTAATTATTATTTAGGAAAAGATTTCTTTAATCCAAAGTCTAAGATCTTAGCAAGAAAAGAAACCTTATGCACAAGGTGTTAGTTACTATATTCACTAGTTTTCTTCCACTTATGTAAAGGAATTCAACCATTTTCTATTTTATAAGATTAAAGCTGCCTAGAATATTAGGAAATCATGCTTAACTTCATAAAATGGACCTACCTTCATTGATGTGTCTTTTTCATCTAAAGGTCTAAGATAGACAGGCACAGGCAAATTTTTCATCTTATTTTCACCCTGACCATTTGCTACCTATATGTAAAAAAAAAAAAGCTATGAGATAGGATCCAGGGATGGGAGGGTGTATCAGTAATTACTGAGTCACTTATAAACAAGGGCTCAGTGGTAAAAGCACTACTTCAAAGTATGAATTAATTCTTGGTACTTCTTGTTTGTCTTTAGAGTTCCCTAATTATTCCCTGAGCCCAACCTGGCTCTGTGATTCTGATTTGAAACATGGGTAAAAAAATCATCTTTATCAACCAACAATGTCCATTTAATGAGGAAAGGGGGAAGGTTTTGTGCATTATAGGTTGCTTCTGGGCCAAACACAACAAACCAAGGAACAAATAATATTCAATTTAATATCATGTGAGCATCAATAACAAAACCTGGCAATCCTACAAGAAAGCCAAGGAAGGTCTTTGTCATTTTTCCTCCTTCCTCAAATACTGAGATAGCAGTGAAGTGAATGAAGGAGTGAATGAAGTACTTATAGTTGTAATTATAAACAAAAAGTGTTTAAAGCATTTGAGATAAAAGCTGAGTCTTTAAAATATCAGAGGAGCAGGAGTCTAAGCAGAATCCGTTAGAATGGTGCTAGCTAGCAAGTTCAATGAAGCCAAGGATCCTAATTAAGTTTTCTATTTCCCTGAGCAACTAGCACACTCAATAAATTATTTTTGAATGAAAGAGGACATGGCTACTTGGCAGGCCATCATTCACACATTATAAAATGAGGAAATATAAATGGGAAGCCTTAGTTACACTTACCATCTTCCCTAAAGCTATAATAATATAGTTAAAATATGATACCAAACTTATAAAAAAAAAAGAATCAAGGAGCTTATATATATAAGAGGAAGATAAATGCATGCACAAGTCAATGAAATAAAAGGCCCAATCTGATCAATGACCCAAGACCTATTGTCTGAAGGAGCAAAGGAGGGTGAAATCATACCAGATTTGGACAAGAGGGCAAGCAGGGACATAGATAAAGGAAGGTTTCCTGGAGTGGGTGGCATTATGATGGGCACAGATCTGGGGTGAGGGGACAGGGGGTTTTCTAGATGAATGTAATGTCATGACGAAAGGCATGAGCCTTTGGAGGAACAATAAATACAAGTCAGTCTAGCTCCGAAGTATGTGCTAAGGAGCCTTTAGGGGAGTAACAGGGAATAGATTGAAGGGAGAAGAGTCTGGAGATTAGGTGAGAGACGAATTAGAAGCCTGTTCTAACAGCCTAGGCAAGAGGTAATCAGGGCCTGAACTACAGTGATGATAGCAGGAATGAAAAGTAGGGGATAGATGTAATGGACTTCATGAAAGTACAGATATCCCTTCCACACTGTGACTTTCCCTATCATGGTTTCAATATGTTGCAGGTCAGCATAAGAAATTAAATGAGAATTTTTTGGGAATTTTGTGGAAGCCACAGATGACATGAGAAGGCCAGCAGACAAAACAGAGAAAGTTTAGAAATTCAGAAATGCTTATTTTTTTATATATATATATATATATATATATATATATATATATATATATATATATATATATATATGTATATATATATATATGTATATATATACATATATATGTATATATATACACACACACACACACACACACACACACACACACACACATACAGTATCATGTATAAACATATGTAATCTTCTAATATCACAATAATTCAGACTTTTCTGGAAGTAAGGGAGGGCCAAAAATTTTATGTAGATTTTTGAGATTACGGAGAACTGAGCCCCTCACTCCCGGAACAGAGAGGGCATAACTGCAGACTTCTTTCCCCACTTAATTTTTTTTTAAATTATAAACTTGATGCCATCGACAATTAACAACAACATCGAGTATGTAAATAATACATAAAACACTTAATATATTATATTACACATTTTGGCAAAACAGAACCAAATTAACAAAAAAGTTTTCTGTGTCCACTTCTGAGTTCATTTGTAGTTCCTATGCTTTTGGTTTCTTCTTTAAAACTATAATTATAGTCAAATGAATATTGTTGTGAGTCTGCTCATCTCAGCTTACATGACTATAAGTCTTTCTACATAGAAAAAGCAGACAGCATGTTATTGGATGTGGAGAACAAAAGTTTTTTATGTTTCTTCTTAGATAAGAATTTATAATTTTTATTTTTTGATTGAACTGGAATTTTAATGACATTATCTCTTAAGTATATAAGAACCTTTCTACAGTGGTTCCCTATTATCTCTAGAAACAAATATAAACTCTTATTTTACCATTTAAGTCTCTTTACAACCTGGTCCCCTTCTACATTTCCAGTCTTCTCATACTTGACTGCCATGGGCGTGTGCACAAGCATGCACGCTCTCCGCTTTCCGGCCACATTGCCCTATGTGCTCTTCCACACAACCAAGGCTCCTTCCTTTCTTGTCTCTGGGCCTCTGCACAAGTTGTCTCTTACTCCTGCCTAGAATGCTCTCCCTCCTCGTCTCCACTCCAGGGAATCTGGTTTCTTTCAAAATTCATTCATGTGTCACTTTCACCATGAAGTCTTTCCTGATGCACTACCTTCCCCAAAGTCCTTGTCTTCATTTTCTTTAGATTTTGTATATAATTACTTTATAAACATATGAAATGTTGTCTCCCTCTAAAATCTCCCTGGAGGCCATTTCACATTTGTCTTTGTACCCTCAGCACTTACCTGGATGCCTAGCCCAGAGGAAGTGCTTAATAAATCCTTCTCATTTGTTTGATTAACCATCAATCAACAAGCATTTCCTAAGTGCTCACTAGAGTCAGGCACTAGAAACATAGATACCAAAAATGTGAAATCATCTCCGCTCACAAGCATATATGTCTATGTACATATGTATGTGCACACACATTTTGGTATCAAAAGACTGCATATACACGTGCATGTGTACATATACTCATATACACATACACACATGTACAAGGTGTGTGTGTGTGCTGGGGGGGGGGATTAGGGGAATTGTGTACAGAAGGTAGTACTTAAACTTAAGTCTTGAAGGAAGGATGACAGCCAGCAGAAAGATATGGTAAAAAGAGATAAAACTATGTATAAGAAATAAAAACAAGGACAGTTTGGATGGACTGCAGAGTATGGAAAGGAGGCAATATACTATTTTGAGGTAAAAAAATATACTATATTGAGGTAAAAAAAGACAAACTGAGGTGAGGTTGTAAAGAGCTTTACAAACCAAAAAAAGGGGCTTCTATATGATTCTAGAGTCTACTGGGATCCACTGGCATTTCCTAAGTAGGGGAAGGACAATTAGATGACCATTTCAATAGTCTAGGCCAGAGGTGGTAAAGGTCTGAATTAACACGGTAGCTATGCAAACAGAAAGAGAATGGTACAAGAGATGGCAGAAAAGTACTAGTAGTGAGATGTAGCAATTGACTGAAGATGTGAGGGAGAACAAGGAGTCAAGAATAATGCTGAGGTTATGAGCTGGGAAGACTACAAGGATGGCAGTTCTTTCAACAGAAATTTAAGTGTGGAAGAGGGATGGAATGAGTTCTGTTTTGGATACGCTGAATTTAAGATGTCTCCAGAATATCTAGCCCGAAATGTCCAATAGGCTGTTGGTTGGCCATTGGTGATGTGGGAGCTCAGGGACAGATAAGGACAGATAGATCTGGGAGTCATATGCAGAGTGATGATAATTAAATCCATGGGATATAATGAAGCCATCCAAAGGTAGAATGCACAGAAAAGAAAAACGCCCAGAACAGAGCCTTGGGGATCATCCAGTTAGGAGGAAGGAGACGAATGGCGAGCCTGCAAAGGTGACTGAGAAGGAGCAGCTGGAGAAGAACTAACATCACTCACAAAAAAATCAGAGTGGGGAGAATATGCCGAAGGAGAGATTAGTCAACGGTATCAAATGGAACAGGTAGGTAAAGAAAGAAGAGGACTGAGAAAAGACCATCAGATTTGGCAAGTAAGAGTTAACTGCTTACTGTTTCAGTTGAGTCTGATGAGATCAGAAGCCAGACTGCAAAGGGTTGGGAAGTGAGAGAAGAGGATGTGGAGCCAGAGTACAGATAGCTTTTTTCTAAGAGGAGAGAAAGGGAGGAGAGGAGTATATAAGATGAGATCTTGAGTGGACAATAGAGTCAAGGGAAGGATTTTTAAGGATAAGAAGACTTGAGCATATATGAAGGTAGTAAGGAAGGAAAAAAATAGAGGAAGAGATTAAAAATTAGAAGGGGGGCATGAGATGCAATCTGTTGGAGAAGACAGAAGGGGATAGGATCAGGTGCATGTATAGAGGAATTAGCCTTGCTGAAGGGCCTCCAAATGATCAGATCAGAGGAAAGGAATTAAGGGATGATGTCAAGGGGTTTTGTGAAAAAAGAGAAGGGGCAAAGAGAAAGCTCAGAGTTAAAGCCCTAAAGTTTCTCAGTAAAATATGAGATGAACTCCTCACCTAGGCAGCATCTATCCACATACATGAGAGGGTAAGGGTACAAGAGGTGTAGGAGGCTTCAGAGAAAAGAAATTTTGAAATAGCTTCTGTGATAGAATCAAATAGGGAGGAATAAAAGGACTGCCTTCCTTTAGTGAGGGCCCAATTGAAGTCTGACAGCAAAAATTTGTATTAGACCTAGTCATCACAGTTGTATGACTTCCTTCAGGTCTGTTGTTAGCACCAGAGCAGAAAGGAAAAAGGAAGATGGAGTTATCTAGGGCTGAATTAGGGCAACAGATAAGTGTCCAAAGGATAAGGGATTTAAGAAAGAGGACAGTATGGAGCTGAACTGATTAACTAAAGGGTTGAGACTGGGAAAGGAGAAAAATGAAGTCAGAAGATGAGTAATGATTTAAGAAAGTACTGAGGCGCAGAGGACTGGAAATCATGATGAAAATGAACTAGAGGTTTTAAGACAGCTTAGGCATAGGGAGAGATAGAATGATGAGAGGTTATGGTCAAATCAAGGATTACCAGTTATTATTAATAACTGATAGGAAATAAGGAAATAGAACATTTATGAAATCCAGGGTGTTGACTATCCTTACCCAAAGCTCAGGTAGCCTAGAGGAAAATTACAAGATTTGGGAGGTTAGCATAGAGTATCAGTATGAATACTGAAGATAATCTCCTAAGGTTAGAGAAAGAGTTGGAGAGGAGAGGAAGACAGTGATCTAGGCGCCATATTCCTAGAGAAACAAAGGAGAATGACCTATAGGCCCAGTAGGCAACAGTCCCCATGATTGCTATAGGATGAAAAATGTTAATAGTATGAATTTCAAGAAGAGGAAATCTTCACGGAAAGAGAGGAGTCTGATTCCCTCTCCAAAACCAATGAGTATTTTGAGGTGTGAGAGAACCAGTGCTAAATAGTATAGCCTGAGACATAGTGTCATCTGGGGAAATAAGTCTCACTGAAAATAAGTAAATGGAAGGGAAATTTATTTATTATGAAATGGGAACTCCTGAGGGCACCATGGAAGGGGTGAGCTGAGCTGGAACAGGACATGGGTAGGCAAGGAAGATGGGGATGGAAGTCAGGGTTGGGGATAGTTTACACCTAGTGAGGAAGTCGTACAGAGATAAGGAGAACAAAATAAGTAACAGAAAGTGGCAGATTAATTGTATGGCTCGTAATATTCATGGGATGACATATAGGGCAAAGGCTAGGAGTGCTGGGTCTTGGCCATCCACATACTTCTCTGGGCTGGGAAGCAGGAAGGTCTAAGTGCACAAGGGTGTTCAAATCCTTCTTGGTCACCCCACTGCCTGCTCTTCCGGACTGGGGTGCAAGAGGTGCCAAGAGGAGGAATCACTTGGCTTTAACAATTTGATCTTAACTAAAATCCAGCTTTCCTACCCAATTAATAAAACAGTCCTGAAAAATTCTGCTTGTTCATTTTTCCTTCATGAACTTGGAGAAGTCAATATGACATTGCTATTCTCAAAACATATGCATACATGTGTGTATGTGTGTATTTGTGCTCCCACACAAATAACAGTCTTGCATATAACAAGTTACTTGCATATAACAAGCTACCTCCCCAAAACAAAACAGGGAACCCAATGAAAGGCATTTATAAAATATTTAGGTTCTGAAAATTTTTATGATGATTTTGAAAGACAGAAAAAGGGCTTTCCACTTGGAAAGTTTTTCTTCTCCTTTTAGTTCAAATTAGCTTGAAACTAAAAATGGACAGCATCAATATCCACATAGCTTTTCATGAGCAGGCTTTATATATGTAAGAATGAACACACATACACCTTTCTAGTGTGTTCAGTACATCAATAGTGTACCTGTTTGTACTTCTGAGGCAAACTCCAGCCAAAAGCTTGCACTCTGCCGTCTTCCTTCTGAACATGTGCCTTCACCTGGCGGTACTGTTCTCTCTTCTGTTCTCTTCGGGAAGCTAAGCTGGCTTCAGTTCTAGACAAGAGGAAATTAAAAAAAAATGTATATGATCACTATCTCGTTTTCTTTTTAATTCACCATTTACCTACTCATGAAATAAAAATGAAGTACAAAGACTGTTTGTTTTGAAAGATATTTTCTCTTTATATTCCAAATGTGCCCATTTCACCTCTGCGTAATAAATACAAGATGACTAGCTTATTTTAATCGGTTGTCACATACACAACTGAAGAAAGGTGAATCAGCAGTCAAGCACCTTCACTAAGGTTTCAAGGTTTAGCCATACAGAAAAGATCAATCCTCCTCCCTCACATGCCTAAAAAGTTACTGCTAAAAAAATTACTAAAAGAGAACTTTCTTGGAAAGAATCAAAATCATGGTTCTCTAATCAATTTCTTTTTTTGCTTCAGAAGTACAAAAATTCAAGGTGACTTTAATCTTATTTTTAAAAATACAGATAATTTCCCAATCATAAGCCTAAGAAATTCAGCATAAAGAAAGGCTTATAAATGCTCATAAGATATAAAAACGTTAGAATTTCTTTTTTTGTTTGTTTGTTTTTTGGTTAGGCAATGGGGTTAAGTGACTTGCCCAGGGTCACACAGCTAGTAAGTGTTATGTGTCTGAGGCCGGATTTGAACTCAGGTCCTCCTGAATCCAGGGCCGGTGCTCTATCCACTGCACCACCTAGCTGCCCCTGTGTTAGAAGAATTTCAAGTGCTCCTTTTTCCATATGAAAACTGGCCAATTGTATTTCTATTAAAAAGCAGTTTCCTTGCAGATTTTTATCTTAATTGTTCATAACTTCTGGCATGCAACAATATGACATTCTGCAAGTCTTCCAACCCACAGAGCACGACCATCTTTACAACCCAGGCCCAAAGGCACTTACTCTTCGCTGAGGAAGTCAAAAGCTTTCGATTTATCCCCAGGTAGCTGAGATAAAGTGCTGCTTCTTTTCTTGACAGAGGGGGTAACATGGGAGGTCGGTGCATTATATTTTAGATTAACTGGGGGGTCAGGCTTCTTGGAGGTATTACTTGAGGAACTAAAAAGTCGGCTGAAACTGAAATGAGAAAACAAAAATACCATGTTTAACTTGAAAAAACTATCCTAGCTCTACATGAACTCTTTCAGATTATAGCAAAGCCAAACTATATGAATTTGTAGCCCCTCTTAGCAGCTTTAAAAACAACTCAAAACCAGCCTCAGATTCACAGAGATAAGGAGGGAAAAAAGTAATGCTTGCATGGCAGGTTCTGCTCTTTAAAGAGACTTGGAAATGAATATTTTTAAGTGAAAATAATGTTAAATTAATAATGTTAAAATAATCTCCTTCACTCTTCTGAATGTTTGCTGAGGGAAGGCCATCTTATGTAGCAGAATTTTCCTGTTTGGGTCAGATTCTTAATAAGGTGTTATCAGTATAGGTAAAAGTGAGTACTGGTGAGGGGCAAGAGAAGGTAAACAGCACTAATTTGAGTCTAGGCTTGATGTTCCAACTCTTATAATAAAGGGATAAAACATAATTTTCAATTGGTTTCACTTTTCTGATTAAAAAGAAAATGCAAATAAACTAATTGAACATCAAATAAAGCAATTACAACTAAATGAAGGTGACAAGTTAATTGGAAAAGGACATGTCATAAGCACAGTGACACAATCATCATAGCATAACCATATGCAAAAAGTTCAACACACAAACACTACTCAAACCCCACAACACTGTTTCCCATCTTAAATCCAAAATTTCTTATCAATCACTGAACCAATTGATCAAATAATTAATGGGGACCCATTTTGGCATCCACTTCATGAATTCATCATCACTTCAATGCAATTTAGGCATAGACTTTCACTACTTCACTAGGTGCATAACCAACACTAGAGGATGCAGCTTACGAGATCCTATTTTTGTCTTCAAGGACAGCCTTACCCAGTTGGCATGCTAAGTGTCAAAAAGAAAAGGTTCAATTTAGCAATATTCACATGACAATAGAAAGGAAAAAATTGAATAGGAAATAAAACCCATCAGTGATAAGTCAGTTTTAACATATAACTTCCTACTTTGAAATGTTCTTTATTACCTTGACTTCTTTTTAGATACTTACAATTGCCAAATGCTTGACCTTTTTTTTTCCTGCATGGCTGGATTTTCTCTTGAAGCCCTAAAGAAAAAGTAAAATATGCATATATAAAGTCAAGCACCAAAAGTTTTTGAGCATGTATAAATAAACACACAGTGCTAACGAGACTCATGCTAACAAAGAATGGACATTCCTGCTTTTTTTTGTGTGTGAACTGTTATTTTCTGAATAATGACTGAGATAGTGTTTTAATGTCTACAAAACATTACATACAAAATCTCATTTGGGCCTCACACAACAATCCTTTTAGTTAAGTACCATAGATGGTATCATGAGGAAACTGAGGTTCAGAGAGACAGGATTTGAACCCAGGACTTTCTGACTCCCAGTCCAGTGCTTTACTACATCACATTCCTCTTTTTTGTCAGAACAAGTGAGTTCCAATATATTTTAAAAAGGCTTTTTTTTTTTTTAAGAAGACACGGGGTCTCTCTACCTCGCTTAGGCTAAAAGGCAGGGGCTACTCATGGGTCCAGCTTCACTAGGACCTGCTCTGTTTTCCAACCTGGGCTAGTTTGCACCTTCTTAGGCCACTCGGTGGCCCCTTCTCCTGGGAGCTTACTATACCGACTGGTTGACAGGTATAGGTTCCTGAAGTTCAGAACTGCCGAGCTTGTTTCAAGCTTGGGATACTTGGCACGACAGGCAGGTGTGTCTGCCTCTGGCCGGTGTTCAGTACTCATTCTGTAATTTCTCATCAGGAGTCATACTTATGTCAATGGCTCCCCTCCCACGTCTCAGATGTTGCCATCTTGGTGGCAACACCACAAATAAGCAGCAAATACAGAAGCACTGCACTATTCAGTACTAACTGTAATGTGGGCAGGTTAGAAAGTGTTTAGTGATCTCAGAAACATTAAAAAGCTACAAAATTCTAGGGTAGCAAGGTGGGGAGAGAGAAGTGAAGAAGTGACAGATGGATGCTATATTGTCTATTGGATCCTGTATGCTGAAAACATAACTCTTGATATTTTAGTTTCTTCATCTGTTAAAAAGAGATTAGAAAATGGAATTCTCTCAGAAGCATTTAAGTAATTGTAAAATATGTAATGAATCATACTGTACATCATTTTTACAAGGGAAATATATTCTTTCTAAATAAAAGCACATAATACCAAGGAAGTCAATATTGTAAGGAAAAAAACATGCTACACAATTTTAAATCCAAGTGAATAGCTGTGCCCCATTAAGAAAATCCAGTAAGTGAAAACTCGAAATTAAAATCTGTGATGATTTAGCATGACAGAAAGATTATGCACTTTACAAAATTATCCACACAAAAAAAATTCTTTTAAATAACAAGCTCCCTTTGTTATTTAAGATAGAATTCAAAAAATTTTATTCACTTGCAACTTTTTAGGAACATGCCTATTATGTTGACTAAAGCCTAGTTGACCTGCACTAGGTACATGTGACCTACAGATGGCAGCATTAGGTGACGGAGGAAGTACTCTGTGTGAGTTCTCAAATGGAGAGGGAAGAATTCAAACAGGAGATATAATACTTCTGAAAAAGTGAAAATAAAACTTTCTTTCCTGACATCACTTATAAAGTGCTGTCAGACTATGGATGTGGAATACAGGATCAACATATTGGTTTGTTTTGCTGAAGCTTTCTTTTTTTCCCTTAAAAAAAATTTTCTTTTTTCAGGGAGAAAATTATGAAAGGAATGTAACAAAAACAAAGGGCATCAATAAAGACTAAATGAATAATAAAGTACTGTCAGGATGATGAGAGACTTATTTTCTAAGAAGCTGATAACTACTGCTAAGCTACTAAGATGACATTAGTGAGGCCACATGAATACAACCCTCATTGGCCCAATTTTGCTACTAGTTTGGTAGCATTACTTTGTGCATAAGCTGTTCTCTCACTGGACTAAGCAAACCACAAAGCAGGGATGTAATGACTGAAGGAATAAATCAGACACTAAAAAAATAAAAGAGCACACAAATATGGCACCTTTCCAATACTAACCTTATCATCTCGGTCCATCGCACAGCTTCTTGAAGCTCCATCAACCTCTCTTTATACTGGTTTCTTTCCATGAGGACACGTGCCATCTCTACTCGAGTAAACCGCTTCCTCTGAGCTGTGGGTATGTCACTCTACAAAGAAAGGAAAAAACGGGATCACTCTGTACATTCATATTGGATTTTAAGAGATCCTCTATAGACTTTACACTTTGCTTATGAAATTAAAAAAGCCAAGTTGAATTTTGCGTAACTTTTTCAAATATCTGGTCATCCATTCCCCATTTGTGTCTATGCCCACTAGTTATCCAGATTCCCTCAAGGCCTGTAAGAAAAATGTTTTTAAAAAAACTTTTTAACTATACCTGTGATTTCGTCAGTGTAGGGAGTAAGTCCCTCTACCAATAGGGTTGAGCACCTGCTATGCAACTTCTAGTCTTAGAGGGCTGCCTGGGCATGAGAAGTCATGTGACTTGCCTAGGGTCACAGAGCCAGTCTGTATGAGATCACTCTAAGGCCAGCCAGCTCTCTATCCATTCTGCCATGTTAAATTTCTAAAAATTAAACACATAAAGTGACTGTAATTCACTACCTTGTTAATGATCAATAGGGACGAAGGTAAATTATTCAGGTATTGGTGATTAAGTGGGTGCAAAGATTTAGAAAACCAGCTAGAAATGCAAAGTATAAATAATTAGATACAAATTAAAATATTATGCAGGAATTTAGAATATGCAAAAGAATGACTAATATGTCCAAACCCTTTGTGACCCAGAGAGTCTATAGTATAGGGAACACAGTAAATATTTAAGCAGTTACTGACTGAATGCTTGTTGATATCTCCAGGTAAATCAATGACAAAAAACAGCTTCATGTATAATATATAGAGCAGCACTTTCTATAACAGTAAAAAACTGGAAAGAAGGTAGATGTCCATTAAATGGGGAACTTAGACTAAACAAGGTATAATAAATGAATGTAATGAAATATTTGTGTGCTTCAGTGCCACCAACAATGGAACTGCAAAGAACAACAAAAAACCACCAGAAAACAGCAAAATTTTAATGACCACCCACTGCTGAAATTTATGATTACAAGATCAGAGGTTTAGAACTAAAAGGAATATTCCTGGTCATCTACCTCATTTTGGAGATAAAGAAATAGGACTGGATAAGTTAAGTAACTTGCTCAAGGTTTACAGGGTAGTAAATGGCAGACATAGTTTTTGAATCTAGGTGATCTGACTCCAAATGCTGGACTTTAATTAAGCACTGAGGCACTAAAACTTTTTATGTAAAAATTTAAAAGAAGTTTTATTTATTTGTCAAAGACTGAAAAAATAACTCTTCCACTGGACCCTGAGGCCTTCTGAATATAGGTGGAAGAATTTCACAAACTAACAATCTATTTTTTGAGTAATAATACATTTCACCTGGGAGCCTTTAAAGTAGTACTTTGCTCTACCAAATCTACTACTTTTTTAGAGTCAAAAAATAAAAACAAAAACAAGAGAGGAATATGTAGTAAGAGCAAAGGATAATAAATGGGTAGCCCATATGTTGCTCACACAATGTCAAGAGTGAGGGAAGATGGACCCAAGCCTTTAGGTGGGTTGCTCTAAAGAATTTACAGGATAAGATTCGGATGGATTGTAATCTATATTCAAGGAATGAGAAAACAGATCCACTGAAGTAACAATTTGTTGCAAATTAACAATAATGACTATGTAGAGAAAATGAACATTATTTTTATTGGTCAGCCCAGTTAGTGAGGTTACTGTGCTAATCTGCCAAGGGCCTGGAGGGGTTTGATTGCCACACAGGACTGCTGGCTTTGCTGTTCCATAATCAAGTGACCTATTACTTAAAATCTAGCTAACTGCCTCACATAATCACGCTAAGGTGAAAAGAGGGCTCTTAGCAGGGGTACACTGGTAAATTTTAACAACTGGCTTGGGGGTGGGGTAGGAGATTGTGTGCACATGATGCACTTTAAAGTTTAATATTTATCGTTATCTCCATCACTTTCTTAAGTCTAGACAATCAACAAAACAATAAAGCAAGCCCTGATTTGTACCACTGGCCGATCTGCAAGGTGTAAATGAATGAAAATTTAAAAGTTGGCTCTTGTGAGCCTATATGAGCTAGCTCCAGCATAGCAATGCCTCTTAGCATACAGGAATGGATTAGCATAAACTTATACCACTGCCCCAAGTAACACAAAGCATATGTCATATTGGTAGCGAATGAGCAGTGTCATCTTTCTTTAGAGGCAGTGTAGGAATATGATGATTATATATTAAGGGATATTAGTGTCACCAATGATTTCCACAATTCTGATGGGGGGGGGCGGGGAGGGAGAAGGGAGGCAAAAAATCTAGAGCTGTGTTGAGCAATGCCAAGGCGACACAAGAGACTGTTTAACTATGCTGTCAACAAAATGGCATCCATTTTTCTTCATGGGGTTTTCTATTCCCTATCTGGGGACAGGTGGGTGGTGCAGTGCTAGGCTAGAGTCAGAAAGATTCATCTCTCTGAGTTCAAATCTGGCCTCAGTTTCCTTATCTGTCAAATGATCTGGAGAAGGAAATGGCAAACTACTCCAGTATTGTCAGTATCTTTGTCAAGAAACACCAAATGGGGTGATAAAGAGTTGGACACAACCAAAAATGACTAAATAACAACATTATCTATTTAAAATGTTACAACCCCAAACTAAGTAAACCAACTTTCTCTACAACACATACTGCAGTGTAATGGGAAAAAAGCTTGTTATACAGACCAGTTAAAATGTTATACTTACATCATCATCATCTTTTGCTTTTTGCCTTGCTTCTTCAGCTTCTGCTCGAGCTCTAGCCAAAAAGAAGAAGAAAAAGAAATGTGATTCAAACTGAGTTAAGACAATCTTTTTGAAGAATGCAAAACCATGATTAAGCACTACAAGATCACCACTATTTAACTGGGGATATCACTTTCAACAAGATGTTTTTAGGTTTATGTAACTGCCCCCCTTTTAGGACAAGTTATTCTAATGCTATGCCCACAGATCAATCAAGGTTAAAGGAAAACCATGACAGAATGAGGGTTTCAAATTCCATAATTCAATTCAATTTAAGGTGAAGTTATTTAAAGGAATGGAGTCACTCACTTTCTAAGCTCTTCTTCCAATTCTTTGTTCTTCTCCTCCAGTTTCAGTTTGGCCTGCTTCACAGCCTCCAGTTCCCCTTGTAGCACATCCTTCTCACAGGTCAACTCATCCACTTTTGCTATCAGATCATTCTTCACTACGTTCAAAGCATTTCTACACAGCAAATTATAAGAAATTATAGTTAACACTATAAATGTTAGTTTTTGCATTAACAAAACCAATGCTGCCAAAATGAGAAATGCAGGAAACTGAGTAAAAAAAATTTATAGCAAGTTTCTTGGATAAAGGTCTCATTTCTAAAATACATAGGGACCGAATCAAATTGATAAAAATAAAAGTAATTTCCCAATTGAAATGTGGTCAAAGGATATAAATAGACAGTTTTCAGAAGAAGAAATCAAAGCTATCAAAAACCACATAAAAATGCTCTAAATCACTAATAAAGAGAAATGCAAATTAAAACAATAATGAAGTACTGCGTCAAACTCATCGGATTAGCTAAGATGACAAAAAAAGAAAAAGTCAAATGCTGGAAAGGACACAGGAGAACAGGCATGTTAATTAACGTACTGTTGACAGACAGATCTGTGAACTAGTCCAACCATTCTGGACAACATCTTGAAACTATGCCCAAAAAGCTATAAGACTGTGCACGTCCCCTTTTGAAGCCATTTTATCTTCAATTCATCTGTCTCAGATAAATACAAACTTAATGAATGCTATGGAATTGAGAAACTGACTTCTCCCGAGCCTTTAGGAGGTGGCAGTGAGGTGGTATAGTAGATGGAGCACTAAACTTGGGAGTCAGGGAGACTTAAGTTGGAATACTGTCTTCAATATTTACTAGGCCTGGGACCTTGGGTAAGTCACTTAACATTTCTCAGCTTCAGTTTCCCCATGTGTAAAATGAGGACAACAATAACACTTCTACCTCACAGGGTTGTTATGAGAATGAAATCAGATATGACATGTAAAGAAGCTCAGTGGATAAAGCACTTGACTTGGAGTCGAGAAAACCTGAGTTCAAATCCTGGTCTCAGACATGTAACAGCTATGTGACTTCAACTCTGTGAGCCTCAGTTTCCTCATGTGCAAAATGAGAATAGCACCTACTGCACAGGGTTGTTGTGAGAACCAAATGGGATAGCACAGGGGTGGGGAACCTGTGGCCCTGAGGCCAAACGTGGCCTTCAAGGTCCTTGGGTGCAGCCTTTTGACAGAGTCCAAGTTTTTTATTTTGTGAAGTCTGTCAAAGGGCTGTACTTAAGGACCTAGGGCCACATATGGCCCTGAGGCCAAAGGTTCCCCAACCTTGGATAGTATATATTAAGTGCTTAGCAAACCTTAATGTTGCTGTAAAAATGCAAACTATTGTTATTTTCATTATAATGTGTCAGAAACTGAGAAACTGTGGATAAGAATACCATTTAGCCTCCAACAAGACAAAATCCAAAAAAGGTGACTGACATAAGATTGCAGAATATAGCTAGAAATGCATACAATAACCAGAAAGGAAATCAAGACCTAGGGTATACCAAAAGAAGCCTATGTGTAGACTGTATATAGCATGTGCTCTAATTAGATGTAGATAAAAATGGAGAAGAGAAATTGGGAAACACATCCTTTGGTTGGATGAAGTGGTTGATGAGGAAGTAATGATGGAATGAACATTAGTTGCATTATTAAAATTCTGTGAATACCTACTTGGTTTCCAAGAGTTGTGTGTTTTCCAGAATAAGATTCTCAACTTCACGACCCATTCCTTCAAAACAAGAAAAAAGATAATAGTGAATTTAGAAAAGAAAAAAAAGATCAACTTTAAACTATGCTAATTATTAATATTATTTTATAATTTTAATCTGTTTGTTTTTTAGTTTGGCAATCCCCATAGATTAAGAACCTATAAAACTTCCAGACCAATAGAAGGGCACAAATTATATTGGTTTATCTTGCATAACTGATGTTTTCTTCTCTTTCCAAAGATAACACTTTTTTAAAAAATCAAGAATTCCGCTAAATATTAAAACACAAAATGGTGGTTTATACAGAGCTGACACTCAACCCAGTTAACGAATAGATGAAATGAAGATGATATAAAAACATGAGTCAATCTGGATTACCAAAAATATTAATGAGGAAATGCAAGGAGCAGAAATCTGAAAAGCTTTATACTTTATATAATATATATGTATTCATATACTTTATATAATATACTTTATATCACATATAGACAATACAAATTAATAAAGAGCCTGTGAATCCAAACAGAGTTTACAGATAGAGGGGATGTTTGAACAAAGGACAGACAAAGTGAAAAAGCTTTGCAGTACCCCAAAGCAGATGGCACCTTACCCAAGAAATTATGGTCTTAAAGCCCATGCATCCCATGTAGAGCAAAAACAAAGAACAAGAAATGTTTCATGTAAGAAACAGCATGAGTGCAGACTGATTACCTATAAAGTTTTATGAATTTTGTGAAAAACACAGCTAATGACAAAGACTGGGAATCACGATGGTATGGCTGGAGGATACTGATGTGAGGGCAGGGCGGAGAAGTGATGGAAGAAGTGTTCTGTAGCTTAGGAAGATGACCTACTATTCTACTGGTAAGCCCTTTCCAGGGATGCTACAAATTCTGAAGTCCAAATAAATATTTTCCTATTTTGCCTCATACTGAAAATAAATATGCTTAGATTAAAGTCCACAAACCAGTTGGTTTGTAGTAGATTTTTTCCATCAAAGTAGTGTCAGATCAATAATGATTAGGTTCAGTAATTTTAGAAACATTAAAAAATCTACATGGATGACATTCTAAGCAACAACTTCCATAGTTAACTTTGAGGGAAATAAAAGTTTCCACTTCAAGCATATTAAGAAAAATGGAGGTGAAACTATGTTTTAGAGGGCTTACATGAACCCCAAAAAGTTAAAAAAAAAAAGCAAACAAAAAATGCATGTGTTTCTGTCTCTTTCTTGTGTACACATAGACAGAGATACAGAGACATACCCTTACATCCCATGCACTGCACTGACCCCAAAGTACTGAAAAGTAGTTTCTGGAAAGAAAGGCTATGACAATTGCAGTATTTCTAATTTTCCATTTAGGGAACTAAGTTGGGTGAAAGTACCATAAAAAGATAATTAAGGAAAGCCTGGTTAGGTTAACAAATCCCTCATGAGAAAAACATTTTTAATAGTTTAGAAGAATTAAAAAAAAAAAGAATGTTTCCATAGAGAAAGGGGATACACTCACTGAGATCAAATGATAACATTTGAAAAAAGTGTATAGCACAATGCCTGGCACATAGCAGGCTCTATATAAATGCTTACTTTCTTCTCTTCCTTTCCCCACTCAATAATACATATTAGATCAAACTTCTGGGATCCATAAAAAAGGTTTGTTTGTTTTTTTTTAAAAAGAGATTTTAAAAATAATTTTAAATTAAAATCAGAAATAGCTCACTCTGACATCTATTTCATTCACGGTTAGAAATGTTTTGTCTTCAGATACTAAAAAACCCTCCAAATTCCAAATCCAAACTAAGCCTTTTAGTTAATATTTAAATAAACATATGTTAACATATTAAAACGAAATGATTTCTTTATAAGTAATTTTATAAAAGAAGCACATACATGGAAGAAATAGGCTCTAGCTTAGCTTGAAAAAAAATCCTTGCTAACCATGTTTGTAGAAACTTTTACACAAATTGGGAGAAAAGGCTTAAAAGCTGAAAAAATATGTAGAGCAAAAAATATCAGTGAGCAGAAAAATGAAGAGAATGCACCGAATGACAACGGCAGCCAAGAACGCCTAGCTGTAGAAGCAGCAATTTGAATGCGTTTAAAAACATACACACCAGAATATTCCCCTGGGTAAGCAGCCCAAGAGAAAAGAGATTGGAGAATCTCAATTAGCTTGTTTTAGGAGACTAATAACTAAGTTTACATTAATTTCAAATGAGAGAGAAAAGAAAATGGTTAACCAAACCAGATATTAAGTAACATGCCACTATAATACTAAAAAATTTAAGATGGTACATGGAAAACACATTCTTATATTGTATTCTATGAAATGTATAGTTAATAAAAACATACTTCCAACAAAGATTTCTCCTGAAATAAAGTTCCAAATAAAGATCCAAAATATGATTAACACAAATACACAGGTAAAAAGAAAAGTCTCATTTCAAATGAAACGCAATGTTTCTTCCATTCTATCAGCAATACAAATCTAATTGGGAATTTGGATAGCCCAACTGTCATTAAAATGCTTAAACTAAGTAAGCATAATCTTAGGTTTGGTTTTTTGTTTCTGGTGGGCAGAAAACCCATCATTTTTGATGGTGAGAAGGAAGATTTAAAAAATATATCCTTACACAGTATTAGAAGAGAATATCTGGTAACTTTGTTTAAACTACAAAAACTTAATCAGAGTAAAAAAAAAATCATTTATTTGAATCAAGATAATGGATAGACATCTCTTCATTTGACTTTTATATTATTAGAAAGTGATCAGGAAAAATGACCTAGGCATCAAGGAGCTGATAGTTTAAGTATATCTATAGGCTGGGTACAAGTAGTGGGCAGATGGGCTGACATCAGTCAACCAATGAATAGTGGTACATAACTTTTCATTTCTAGTTTTCTTATTTAAACCAGTCTTGATTTGTCTATCAATTAAGAGTTGCTAAAAAGGACTAAAATCTAAGAACTATTTATTTAACAACTCCCAAACACCTGGAAAATTAGGATCATTAACCAAAAAGGTAAAGGCATAATACCACACTAAGTTTAAGATGATATACCAAAACTTTCTAGAGCCACAGAAAATATAAATCTAGTGGCAAGCTATTAACATATTTTCCCTTTAAAAGTATTTGCTAAATGGTAAACAGTTTTGTGGGATGATCCTTATGTTTAAAAAAAAATCAAACAGTGGCAGCATTTGTGCACAAAACAAACTACAATGGTTGATCATACCATTTAAGCTGCCTGGGTAATTACTATTAAAGAAAATTTATATTTTCAGAAGATAAATTTTTAAAATCAGAATCGTACACATTTGAAATGTTTATTAGCATTAATGATCAGAGCTGTTATAAGATAATGAGGACAAATACAACTTCAAATAAGCTAGTCTTCGGATTTACACAGAAGCATTTTTTAAGACCTCCATTATCACAGTAAGCTATGAAAGTTGTAGCAGCCCTCTTAGGGGAGTAATCAGGCTCAGGAGGCTTTTATACATCAACAAACTTAGAAACTCTTTTTTTGACCAGTAAAAAAATAATTCTTTGCCCAAGCTGCCATACCCAGTAGATCTGCTCCTTCATCTACATCTCCAATCAAGCCAGAGCCAGCTGAAGACAGTTCTTCAAAGAGAGATTCTGTATTTCTGTCAAAAGCTTTGTTCTCTATACCTTTGGTAGGAGTGCTGTACAAGAGAATAACAAACAATTAAGGTCTTTTACAACACTGTAAAATGGATATCTGAGCTCTATTATTTAGAAATAAAACAATTATTTAATATCAATATAATATAAATGATTATTGGGTAGGTGCTTTCTACGTTTGGGCCTATGGTTCAGAGAGCTTAATAAATATTTGTCAACATTTGTGGGGAGTAGGAATGAGAGAGAGAAGTTTCCACAAAAATCTATCAGGATGATTGTTTTTAAATGTGCAGAAATATAGACAAAGCAATGAATGAAAGAAATGATCTCAAAGCCCTAAATTTTAATGTAATTTCAAATATCCTGATTAGAACAGTAGATAACTGGTTCTCATTTCATCAGTCAAACAAAGAGCCTACCTAGGAAGAGTGCCACACAAGATGATGTCTTTCTTGCTAATCGCTGATTGTGATTATCCATGATAATGAAATAAGGAGATCAGGGAAGACTTGCAATCTCCTAAGTCTAAGGAAGGAGTCAGGAAACACTGCTAGCTATCCAAAATGTGACACTTCTCTTACTACCACTTGTTTCCTCATAGGATCCATGAATAGTCCTTAGTTGTCATTTTCTACATCTCTACATTGCCCTAGAAGGGGCAGCTAGGTGGTGCAGAGAATAGAGCACTGGACTTGCAATAAAGAAGACTCATCTTCTTGAGTTTGAATCTGGCCTCAGACACTTATTAGTTGTGTGACCTTGGGCAGGTCACTTAACCCTGTTTTGCCTCAGTTCCTCATCTGTAAAATGAGCTGGAGAAGGAAATGGCAAACCACTCCAGTATCTCTGCCAAGAAAATCCCAAATGGGGTCACAAAGAGTTGGATACAACTGAATAACAACAAACAAACATTATTGTGGTCCTTAGACCCATTAGTAGCTGCCAAATGATAAATATATAAAGTTGTCTAAACTACAAAAGAGTTTAGTTTCAGAAGCAACAGGAACAGACATTCATTGACTTGATTTAATTAGGCAACTAGGTGTTGTAGTGGATAGTATTGGACCTACAGTCAGGAAGATCTCAGTTTGAATTCTGCCTCGGATACTATACCAAGCTATGTGCCCTTAAGCAAGCTTTCTCTTAGTCTCATTTTCCTTATCTGTAAAATAGGGGCAAATAATACCACCTGTCTCCCGGAGTGGTTATGAGGATCAAACAAAATAACCTATATGAAGCACTTTTCAAACCTTAAGGGGCTGTATAAATGCGAGCCATTATTATTGTTGTGTTGAGTCACGTCTGACTCTCTGTGACCCCATTTGGGATCTTCTTGGCAAAGATACTACACTGGTTTGCCGTTTCCTTCTCCAGCTCATTTTACAGATGAAGAAACTGAGGCCAACAGGGTTAAGTGACCTGCTGGGGTCACCTAGCTAGTAACTGTCTGTGGCCAGACTGGAATTCAGTAAAATGAGTCTTCCTGATTTTAGGCCCACTACTCCATCCACTGTGCCACCTAGCTGCCCCATCACTACTATGTGTTATTATTAGTCCACAGCAAAGTACCTGAATTTCTTCTCGTAGGATTAAATAGGATTAAATATGTCAAAATTGACTGAAGGCAGGACGCTTGTAGAAGGAAAAAAGAATAGAAGCATCTCGTGTTTTTGTTCCACTTAAATGAAAGGTCTAAGAAACAGTAGCAACACCCTGAAGTACCTCGAGCCTTTATATCCACTGAGGTCTTTATCCATATCCAGCTCAGGAGTAGATTCAATGATTGCCTGCACTTCTGATTTATCTTCATTTTCATTAGAGCCTGAGAAAAGAGCAATTTTTGAGTAAGCATTAGCCATGAATGTGTCATGTTCCTGTGCTTGCACATTATCATTAAGTTACACATATTTTCTAAGAGTTCTCTTGAACTTTCACATTCCAAAAAACAAAAAAGAGTTAGAGTGCACTTGCATGTTTTATCAGAGGTGAGATCAAAACAGAGAAAAGAAAACACAAGCTACAGCTTCTCTAGCTTTTTCACAGTAGAAAATGCTGCATTATCCCAAGCAAAAGCTTCCTTCCTTGCAGTTCTCCTTCTCCCCTGTTGCCCTACCTCAGTCATTTTAAAGGCCATGACTTTGCTAGCTACTAGGTAAGACAAGTCTGTGTTTACACTAAAATATGCAATACCCAAAGCAGGCAGCAAGCCAACCAACCCCGGATGCTACAGAAACACAACTACGAGATGCTTACCAATTGACACACTCCTAGTATCTTGAGCTACCTGTACTTCAATATGCTTGCCCGTCTCTGACTTATCTGCAGCCTTCGAATAGCCGTCATTGTCCTCCTTCAAAGGAGTGTCAGCAGGAATGGCGGCAACATCGGAAGCAGCTGTCGATGCTGGAGTAGTAGCCTTGGATCCTCCCTGGCTGATATCAGAAAGTTCATCCTAAAAATTGTAAATAGACTTTGTAAGTACATTTGAATAACTCACTCTTATTTTGAATAGGTGCATAAAAATATTGGAAAGTCAAGTAACTCAAGAGAATTCTCTAATACATTTTAAAAACAACAAATTATGGAATTAGAAAGTGACACAGAAAACTGAAAAGACAACATTAAATAGTATTTACTGATTTTTTAAAAAAATAATCAAGTAATAAGCAGCATGTTACTAATGAATAACTACATAGAAGAACTGGGGCAAAAGGTAGTGGAAAAGGAGATCGGCCGGCTATATAGTATACTGTTGTTGTTATCATCATCATCATCATTTAGTGTGAGAATAAAGGGATGATAATCAAATGGACTGCCTGAGTGTTCCATTTGTACCCACATAATGGCAAGACACACATGCTCCTAGCACAGGGGATAATTCCCTGTGTAGACTTTACAGGATGACATGTCCCAGGTGCCTAAAAGGTATAGTTAGGGTGAAATCTACACTAGGGGAGCATAGATGCGAAGTATAGAACCAGACATATTCAATCTAATTGTGAGTGTGTGTGTGTGTGTGTGTGTGTGTGTGTGATATTATATTCTCTTAACAGTCTCATAATATATTCTCATCAAATGCACACAATGGATATTCTCTTAAAAGGAAGTCAATAGTGCAAAAAAATAAGTTGGGTGTCAAATATAATTCATAGGAAACTGGCATGAAAAGTCAACAATTCGAGAATTTCTAAGAGTTTTATATATATTATATTTTCCAGTTCATTAACATTAGTGCTTGGCCTAAATGGGCTCAGCAGATGTACTGTTGTAGAGGCAGAGCTAAACTGCCAAATTCTGGGAAGCAGCTGCTATACAAATAGTTTGGCACATATTGAAATGGGGTGATTTTAAAGCAAAGGCCAACAACTGAGCAAAAGTCAAATGGGCAAGACGATAGCATCGAGAGTCAGTGTCAACTATAAACCAAAGATAGCTTGTAGGCTTGAGAAAAGTATTTGTATGTACCATAAGTCTTTACAACCACATGTACACCCACCTAACACTAGGAATACATTTCACCATCCTTAAATATAAATCACAAAATAACAAACTTTCTGAGAGAAAAACATTGGTGATATTAACTGCAATTCTGTATGACTACTAATTACTCCCTTTCTACTTGTCTTGGAAACTTGAATTCAATGGATATTGAAACAAAGCTATCCAAGAGACATTTCAAAACCTCTCTCCAACTTCTGTCAAATGTTAAGTTAGACATTAGAGAGCTAGAAGTCAGAGAGATCACCTAACCAAAATGAAAACATCAAGGCCCAGCAATCATAATAACAGAATCTGAACTAAAAAGCCTGGGTTCTAGGTTCTGCCTACCAATCATTTTTTCCACTACACTGCACCTTTTGCTCCTACTCAAATGTTGTTTGACCATCACTTAAAAAAAAGCCTGGCAAAAGGTGTACAGCAATTGGTCCTTGATGGAAAAAAAAAATCACAGATTTTTTTGGAGGGTACCAGACTTATGATTTCATAAAGAAAGTTGCCCTGATCTATATCTTGCCACTGGACCAGATGGCTCTGGAGGAGAAAGTGAGGCTAGTAACCTCCATCTGCCCCTGTCTCTCTCCCTGTCCTTCTCCCTGTCCCTCTCCTCTCTGGGGTTTACTGGCTACATTTCTTTCACAAAGAACAAGCCTTAAACCCAATTCACTCTGGAAGCTCACAGATTGAACAATAATAAGTCCCTGGCCAAGCACCACTTCATGTTCTTTTTTGGGCCCTCCTTGCTCAGAGTGAATGTAAATACTAACTGTTTTTCTTTTGGCCAGCAAACCTGAGGGTCTTCCCCACTCCTGGTTTGACTTTTTTTTTTTTTAATTAAAGAGGCCATCCCTTGACTCACTTCTTAAAAAGGCCTATTCACTAAATGGGCATTGCCTCACTTCAAGTGAGAACCTGAAAAGACCTTAGCTTAAAAGAGCCAGGGTCTCCCATTGCATCCTGGGCCATCTCCAGTCATCCTGATGAATATCTGGCCACTGGACCCAGATGGCTCTGGAGCAGAAAGTGAGGCTGGGGACCCTGCACAGCCTCCCTCTCTGAAATCAAAGTCAATTGCAAGTCATGTCATCATCTCCCTGATGTCATGGTCCTCTTCAAGAGCCAAGGACAAACACAAGAAGAAGCAAGGTCCCTATGAGAAACTTCTAGCAAAGCAGGCCAGTAGCTTCTTGGAAACTTCTAGTCTTAGCTGTCTGAGGCACTGAGACAATGGTCAGCCCAGGGCCCCAAGGCCAGTATGTGGCAGAGGCAGACCTGGAGCCCAGATCTTCAGGACTCAAATTCCTATGGGTTTAATTGTCTCCATGGAAATGATGCCTAGCTCTCTCTATTGCCCTTATATCTTTTCTGAGTTCTAGCTGTCCATCTCCAATCACCTATTAGACATTTCAAAGTGAATGACCCACAGGCATTTCAAACACATGTACAAACACAAAGCATTACCCTTCCTCCAAATCTCACCTGTCTTCTGAACTTCCTTATTTCTGCCAAGTGCACTACCATCCCTCCAGTCACCCAGGGTTACAGTGTTATCCTCAATTCTTGCATACATCATATAATCAATCAGTTGCTACATTTCTTGTCATTTCTATCTCCACAACTTCCCTCAAATCTGTCCCCTTCTGTCCACTTGCACAACCAACAGCTTAGTTCATACGTTTATCCCTTCTGACCTACACAGCTGCAATAACCTCTTAACTGGTCCTCCCTGTCTCAAGTCTCCTTAACTCGAATCCATGCTGCATACAGCTGATCAATCTTCCTGTAGCATGACCCTATCACTCCAACCTTTCCCCCTCCCATCCTTGACATAAACCCTAGTGGTTCTTTATTGTCCCTAGGATCAAATGTAAGCTCCTCTGTTTGCCCTTAACAATCTGGCCTCAACCTAGCCTTATTATGCATTATTCCCTTTCCTGACTTTTCAGTCCAGGCAAAATGGCCTTCTGGCTGTTCCTTCACATGATACAATATCTATCTTGGTGTCTTTGCATTAGCTATCTACTATCTAAGACAGGAAATGCACTCCAACTTCACCAGCACATCTCAGAATCCCTTATTTTTTTCAAGAACAAATTCTCTCAGGGCAGCTAGGTGGCGCAGTGGATAGAACTCTGGCCTTGGAGTCAGGAGGACTGAGTTCAAATCCAGATTCTGACACTTGTCACTGGGCAAGTCACTTAACCCTGATTGCCTCACTGAAAAAAAAGAATTCTCTCTCTCTCTCTCTTTCTCTCTCTCTCTCTCTCTCTCTCTCTCTCTCTCTCCTCTCTCATACACACACACATATATTCTCTCTATAGGAGTAAGCTTCTTGAGGGCAAGGACCATTTCATTGTTATCTTCATATCCCAGCTTGGTGTCTATCAGTCACTAATCATGACTTCAGAAGACTGATGATGAAACATGGCTCCTGATTCACAGAACACAAGTTTCCGAGAGCTGGGATATTCATTTTTTTGTCTTAATATTCCCAACCCCTAGCACTGTCTACACATAAGATAATATGATACACATTATGATAAATACACATATGATAAATGCTTGTTGATTGATTCACTCATTGATATTTACTTTTTCCATAACATACTCCTTAAATCTCTTGATTCCTTCATTCTTATCCACATAAAGGGATAGTCACACACTAAATGTCACCATTACCCACAAATGTTCCATACTTCCCTAATGAGAAATTCTGACATTCTTCTATCTGATCACAATGTCCTATCATTCCATCTCTTCCTATGATTCACCCCCTATTAAATCTATACTTCACTTTCATTGAGACCTCCAATTCCCCCATGCCTTACCCCAGATATGATCTCACATTCTACCTTTTCCAATCTCTATCCAGTAGTTAACCACTTCAATTCCATGCTGTTCTCTGTTCTTGAATCCCTGCCCCCATGTCCTATCTTGGCTAATCTCCTGCCAAACCTCAGCCCCAGATTATTTCCACCACCTACATTCTCTGTTCCTAATAAATAGCTGCTGAATGAAGCTAAAGAAAGTCTCACAATCATGCTCACTAGGTGCACTGCAAATTCATTTTATCCAAGCTGAACTGGGCCCTCATTCTCTCAATGGAGGAATACAAGGCAGTTCTTCTATTCTTCCATTTTCTTCTAGGCTTCAGCTGCCTTCTTCCTCCATCCATGCAGCCCTACTCTCCCACTGGCTGAGTTCCTCCTAAAAATCTCTATTTTGGGAAAAGGCCCATCCTTTAGTATCCAGACTTTACCATGATGTCCCCATATTATACTCTCCTTTCTGCCACCATACCCCTCCCTTGATTTAGCTTCTTTTTACGTATTATATTCCCTCATTAGTATGTAAGCTGTTTGGGTGGACAGAGACAGTCTTTATTTTTGCATGTATTTGTATTCCCAGTATTTAGCATATAGTGAGCATAATAAATGGAGTCAAGAGGACCTGAGTTCAAATTCAGCCCCAGATACTTACTAGTTTTGTGACCTTGGGCAAGTCACTTAACCCAAATTGCCTTTTTTTTAAAAAAAATTATCAAAAAATTACTTTATTGAGCTAGAAAAAATAATAACAAAATTCATTTGGAAGACCAAAAAGTCAAGAATATCAAAAGAAATAATGCTTTGATCCAGCAATACCACTTCTAGGTCTGTATCCCAAAGAGATCATAAAAACAGGAAAAATAAATATTTATTATTACAAAAATATTTATAGCAGCTCTTTTTGTGGTGGCAAAGAATTGGAAATTGAGGGGATGCTCATCAATTGGGGAATGGCTGAACAAGTTGTGGTATATGCATATAATGGAATACTATTATGCTATAAGAAATAATAAGCTGACAGACTTCAAAAAAGCCTGGAAAGACTTATATGAACCAATATAGAGTAAAATGAGCAGAACCAGAGAACGTTATACACAGTAACAGCTTCATTGTGTGATGACTGACT